CCTGCCATCTACCCTATGGGCTTGGCAATTGCAAAAGAGAGTAACAGCTCCTCTCCCACATGAAGAACAGTGCCAGACATAGAGGCATAGGTAGGTTCTGGAGGTGCCAGGTACACCTCCGAGGAACCTGTGTACAGGTAGCGTTCAGGCTGCATCACTACAGGCTCTCAAGCCTGGAGCTGTCCACCCTGAAAAGCTCCTTCTAAACCTACTTGGAGCAGCACAAGCTACATCTAAGTTTTCACTCCTCCCCCCACAGAAAAATGAAGGTCAAGGCTACTGATCCACCCGAGAAAATAAAGCATGATCTCAAATGAGAAAATTAGGAAGACTGAGGGGCACAAGTCCTGGGAAAGAAAGGCAACCAGTGGAACAACCTGTGAATAGGAAATATAACTGCTGTAACAGAGAGAACTCGAGTTTAGAATATGCATAATAAGTATCCGTAGAAAGATAAGAGAGGATGATAGAAACATGGATCAGAAGTAGATGGTTGTGAAGAAGCCCCATATAAAGAGATGAAGACTGGAAAGTTTAATTGTTGAAATAAAGAACTCAGCCAAGGGCCGGCCGAGTGGCTCAGTTGGTTAAGAGCTCGCTCAAGAGTTTGAGCTCTGAGCAACAGCGGTTCGAGTCCAGCCCGAGCTGAGCAGCCGCTGAGCTGCCAACAGGTAGCAGGATGGCTCAGCTAAAAAAACAAACAAAAAAAAAGAACTCAGCCAATGGGCTGGATAGCAGAAAGGACTCATCTGAAGATTGAATGAGGGAGTGGAAGATTGGATGAGAAACTCTTCCAAAATGCATAAAAACAGAGAAAGAAATTGAAAAACGAGAAAACTTAAAGCATTGAAAGAACCGAAAGAGAAGTAATGACAACCACCTAAAAAGAGTCCCAGTAAGAGGAAAAATAAGTAATTGAAAGAGAAAACATACTTGATAATATTTATCAATAATCTTACAGAACGTACCACTCTGATGCAGGATGTTGATAGTGGGAGAAGTTGTGAGGGAGTGGGTACATGGAGAATCGCTATGCCTTCTGCTCATTTTGCTGTAAACTTAAAACTGCTCTAAAAAATATAGTCTGCTTTTAAAAAGTCTCTGCAATAGATAGATAGATAGACAGATAGATAGATAGATTCTAATAGATAGTACAGAATGATCAAGCAGGGTTGATCCTAAGAGTACAAAGATGGAGCAGTACCAGAAAAATGTATCAGTGTGATGATTCATCACATTAATACTGAGAGAGAAAAAAGGCGCATGTTCTTAACAGATGTAGAAAAGGATTTAGTTTTTAAAAGTTTTCAGTAAATAAGCAGTATTTTATGTACATAAAACCTATATGAAAACTATAAATAAAAAATGTTTAAGTTTTTTAAGACTTTCTGGCAAAAACATGAAGCAAATGTCGTCTTAAAGATATATAGGCACATTCTCTTTAAAATTAGCAACAAGATAAACATTTTAAAATAGAAATAAGAGATTTAATTTAAAGATTGGGAGGAAGAAATACTTTAAGTATGCTGCTAATAAGATTATTACATAGAAAATTCAACTAGGCAATAGACAAATGATTAGAACTAATTAGAGAGTTTAGCAGGTTTGCCAGAAATAAGACTGACACACAAAAATTAATAGTAGAAAGGGCCGGTCAAGTAGCACTCTTGAGCAAGCTCTGAGCAACAGCGGTTCAAGTCCCGGCCTGAGCTGAGTTGCTGCTGAGCTGCCAACAGGATGAAGCTCAGCTAAAAAAAAACAAAAAACAAAAACTCAAAAAAATTAATAGTAGAAAAAGCAGTAGAAAACAAGATGCCATTTAGGGTGCCAGATGGGCACTGGACTTATTAGGGACACTTCACAGACTGTGTAAATGCCTGACCACTGTGCTATACACCTGAAGCTGAAGTTGAATAATATGGAATGTCAACTATATATATATATATATATATATATATATATATATATATATATATGTATATTCACTCACAGGATGTGTAATACAGCATAAGGAATAGAGTCAGTGGAACTGTAACAGCTATATACGATGTCAGAGGGGTAGTAGATTGGGGGCGTTATCACTTTGTGAGGGGTGTAAATGTATAACTATTACGTTGTTTTATACACCTAAAACTAATGAAAAGGAAAAAAGATGCCATTTATATACAACAAACTGAAAGTATAAAGTGTCTAGGAATTAACCTAACAAAAAATACATGAAAGCTTTAAGGAGGAATTTTTTTAAACTCCATTAAAAGACAAAGGAGAGCCGAATAATTTCAATGAAACAGCATATTTATGAATGGAACAATCTAACATTGTAACAGCCTCACTTCTCCCTGAATTAAACTATAAATTTAACTTAATTCCAATAAAAAAAATACCAGCTGGAATTTAGAGGGACTCTGAAAAACTAATTTGAAAAGCTACATGGAAGAATAAAGTTTTATAAATACCCAAGACCATTTTGAAAGAAGAAGAGCAAAACGAAGAGGGAACTTTACCAACCAAGTAGTCAGACATCACAAAGCCTAGTAATGTGAACAGTGTGTTCTGGTGAGGGAGCTGACCCAGAGTCAGACCCAGTAATATATGGAGCTTGATGTATGGTAAGGATGGTATTACATTTGGAAAAACTGACTCACTGTGTGGGGAAAAAAATAATAAAATGTATCCCCTTATAAAACAAACGAACAAACAAAACCACCTTTCAGTTTCATTTGGATTAAAAACGTAAATGTGAAAGGTAAAACTAAAAGCCAATAGGAGACGGTGGTTGAGTATCTTCGTGAACCCAGGATGCAAGGATTTCATAAACAAGACTCAAAATGCAGAAACTATAGATTGACCTGCATCCAAGTGAGTATTTATGTGCAACAAGAACATCATAAAGTTATCGGAGACTTGAAAGACTGGCGTAGGATATTTTTAGTGCTGAAAACTGACAAGTGATTAATAGCTAGACAATAATAGCTATTTCCGCAAGTCAGAGAGAAGACAGGAAACAGAAAGAATGAGCAAAGTATATGAACAGGCAGTTCACAGAAAGGGAAAGTCAGATGACCAGTAACATCTGAAGAGGCTCAGTCTCATGAGAAACCAGAAGAGGAAACTGAAACCACAACTGAATAACACCACTTTGCACGTACCAGATTGGCCAAAATTAGAAAGTCAGAAAATACCAAGTGATGGTGGGGAAAAGAGAACTGGCAAGCTTTTCTTGTTGGAGTGTCAACTGACTGGCTATTTTAGAGATCAGTCTGGCCATATTTAGTGAAGTATATGATTTACTCTATAATCGAGCAGTTCTGTGCATATACAGAGGGTGCCAAAAAAAGTATACACATTTTAAGTAAGGAAAAAACTATTACAACTGTAATAGTCAATATATATCGATAACAAAAGATGAATACAAGTCACATTTGACTTCTGCAATTACAAGAGGTGCTCAAAGTGGTTACCATCAGTGGCCAGACACTTCTGATTACTGCGAACTACTGCTTGAGCAACGTTGACAAACGTGTTCACTTGTATACATTTTTTAGCACCCCCAGTATATCCAGAGACACTTGCACAGGTACACACGAGGACATGCAATAGAATATTCATGACATTCTTGTTTGTGTTAGTGTTAACATGAGAACATCCAAACCTGTAGAGAATTTTTATGAGAGTTTATTTGAGCCACACTGATAACACATGCCAGGTAGCAAGCTCCAGAGAATAACAGTTTTGCAGCTTCTTTTATGCATTTGAAATTAAGACGAGAATATAAGGAAGATTACATGAGGGTGGGAGAAGGCAAGGCGGGAATTGGATTAGAAGATTATGTGCTTTCTTAAAGGTGGTTATGCCTTCAAAGGGCATCCCAAAGGTGTATTAGCCTACATGCACAAGAACAATGGACAGGGTTGGATTAAAAACCTTTCACTTGGGCCGGCCGAGTGGCGCGATGGTTAAGAATTCGCTTGGGATGCCAGAGGGCCCCGGTTCGGATCCCACATATGAGGGCCAGTGACACTGCCCTCCACAGCTAAGATGCTGAACAACAGCTCAACCTGGAGCTGAGGTGCCGTGAGTTGCGGGCGACGGTGGAGGCTGCAGCCCCTGCTGCAGTGGGTTGCCATGGGCTACCGTAGTGTAGCCAGCAGCCAGCGTGAGCGGCCATCCAGAGGCCGGCAACTGATCTGCCTCGCCAGGGAAGAGCGCAGTGATGGTGCCAACTTGAGCCAGTGAAGCAGCGTCCTCCACGGCTCGATTGAGGAACGAAACGACAGCAACTTGTCTGTTCCCCTCCCCCAATTCCCCAATAAATTCTTAAAAAAAAAAAACTTTTCACTTAAGTTACAGGCCTGGGCATGCCTAGCCACCAGGACCTGCCTGCCCAGTTAGGAATTTGTGGTTTATTACAGCACCCCTTTTTCATCCACATTAGTAAAGGGTTGGAGGGAACCTCCTGCATGTCACTAGAAGACTGGACAAAGAAAGGGTTGAGGCAGCAGTCTAAAGGAATGAGCTGGATTTACATATAGCAGCGAGATGGGTGATATATCCCAGAAATATAATGTTGAGTGAAAAAAAAGTTAGGAAAAGCATTAGATTGACTCCCAATAAAGTTCATGAAAATACAACCCGCAAGCACAAAGGATCACTAATGTTCAAGTGTACATATGTCCAAATAAACATGTGGAAGGTGGATTAGAAGGAAGCATGTCAGATTCATTAGAGCAGTTACCTTTAGGGACACAGAAATGGAAAGTGAAATGGAAAATGAAGGGGAAAATAATTCTACAAATAACACTGCACCGGGTCCTTGTGTGAGCTGATGATGCAAGTTCTCCAAGAACTGAGAAGTGGGATAAACTTAAACCTGTGACCCTGAAATCCTTAAAAAGAAAGTGGTTCTTCCATTCTTCCTAAAACTTTGCTAGGATGAGTTGTGTTTTATAACTTTATCCACTGTGACTTGTTGCTGTCCCACCCCCTTTTTCCTCATAAAGGGTTGCTGGCTCCTGGCCAGGTCTCTGCAAACTCAGAAGGCGTGGACAACATTGTGGTGACGTGGGAGCCTCCTGGAAAAGCTGCCTCTGCTGTCCAGGAGTACGTGGTGGAATGGAGGGAGCTCCATCTGGGGGCCGTCATGCAGACCCCCCTAAACTGGCTGCGGAGTCCCCCCTACAACGTGTCTGCTTCGATTTCCGGTACTTAATTGTTCACCTCCCTTCTGGAGGGTTACTAAATTTACATTTGTTTGGGGAATTTGCAGGCTGGACGCCAAAACTCTGCCCTCTGTTACGCGTAGCTACATGAGGAGAGGGATAGTGATGACCTAGGGTCCATCATGACGGCACCTCAGGACACACCACTGCAGCCACAGAAGACCAACCAGTTGATGAAAATCTCTAGTATTTATGGAAAATCAATGTGTTTGGCACAGTGCTGTATAACATGAGTGAATAATTAAACCAAACAAGCATGGCTGAGAGCTGCGTAGTAGCCAGTCAGTGTGATGGGTACCTTACATTTTGGGAGTTCATTTACGTCTCAGAACAATCATGTGTGGCAAGAGTTATCATGCTGCCCATTATATAGGTGAAGAAACCAGGACATCTTTCATTCTCAATTCTGCTACTTATTGTTTGTGCAACAATAAATCCAGAATTATTTATATGATAATTGGTGCTGCTAATCCTCACATTCTAAATCTGTCAGTGGTTACAATCAAATGATTGAAAACATCTGAACATATATTTAAATGATTGGACAGGACTTAGTCGATGTCGTTTGTAAGTGTAAGTTCAGCATAGTAGTTACAAGTGCTAGTTCTGCAGCCAGATTACCTGGGTTTGAGTCCTGGCTCTGTCATTCACTGGCTTGTGTGATCTAGGGCAAATTACTTAACTTCTCTGTGCCTCAGTTTCCTATATATAAAATAGGGATAATATTACCTACCTCACTGGGTTATTGTGAGGACTAACTGAATTAATATGGGAAAAAAAAACGTTTTGAACAATGCCAAACACATTTTAAGTGTTCAATAATTTAACTATTGCTATTATTATCTGTAACAGACCTAAGATTTTAATAGGTTTTCATGCTTTAAATCCCATAATATTTTCATTACGCCATGCCAATTATTACACCTGTCCAGGAGGATACACATGCCCTGCTTAAGGAAACAAGACTTACACAATGAAATAAACAGCACACCGCATGATAATACATGAGCTGGTCCTTAGCTGTGTGCCTCTTTTAGAGTCTAGCTCTCAGGCTGCTACTGGGTTGTATTCCGTTTTAATCACTACACTTAAAGAGAATGCTGCCCAGTGAGCAACAGAGGAAGGTAAGTCACTGGGGTTCTGGAACTTTTAATGTGGAAAGCACTTAACCTGTGGAAGAGAATTCTAGATGGGGTGGTGTAGTTTGATGGCTGTTTCTGGCTTTGATGTGTACATGAGAAAGAGTCTGTGTCCTTTGTTGATCTGGAGGGTAAAGCTAAGGCCCCTGCATGGAAATTATAAGAAAGCAGACATGTCACCTCAATTTTGAGAGCACTTTCCTTACCTGTTATGGTCTATGATAGGACAATTGATTATCCCTAGAGTTATTGCAGTAGAATCCGTTTTCCTTTAGGGTTGTTATATCCATCAAATCAGATGAAACAGTGGATGGAAAAAGCATATAGTGAACGCTAAGCTGCTACAAAATTGTAAATGCTTATTATACACTGTATTAGGATTTACCCCGGCAAGATAGTTTGAATCATATAGCCCATACAGTTCCTTCCTTTTAGAAAGTCTGTAATTCTACACCAATAGCATAACATAGATGACAAGAGAGCATGTTTTTCATATTTAGGAAAATAAAATGTTTTTAAGCATTTTAGAAATATTCATTTGAATAAAATCATTATTTTATTAATTACAGTTATTCTCCTACTTGAAAACACACTTGGTTAACTGTTACTTTGTGTTGATATTACTTTCTGGAAATAAACTCTTTAAAAAATTAAGTAGTGCTCGCTTTGGCAGCACATATACTAAAATTGGAATGATACAGAGAAGATTAGCATGGCCCCTGTGCAAGGATGACACGCAAATTTGTGAAGCGTTCCATATTAAAGAAAAAAAAAATTAAGTAATTCGCACTTAACATGACTTCAAAATGGTCCTCTCCAGTTAGGAAGATGATTCATTGCCATCACATCTTCAGCATCTGGCTGGGGCAGAGTGGGTATTTTGGACTAGGCCAGCATGCAGTCCAACTCCTGGACTGTGGATTGGTAGGGCCTAGGCTAGAGATCATAAGCCCTGTCCTGTATGGATGAAAATGGTTCTGACCATACAGAGCCACTCCTTTTACAATAATGTAGACATCGCCATGTCTAGGGAACCTTCCCTGATGCCTAGGCTATTTGGGACCTTCTTCTGCTCACTCCTTTATACTCTCTCTATGATTACTCCTCATTACTGATCATTTAGTGTTTGTCTTCTCCCATGCTTAATAGATGAAATTAGCTTTCTGCAGAAAGTCCACCTATGAGATGGTTTATGAATGTGGAGACAGAGCCTTTGCCCAAGGGTGCCTGGTATATCTGTGTGCATGGTAGGAGTGGGAGATAAGCTGGAAGTTGGGGCCAGACTGGAGAAAGAAAGAAAGTCTTAGGATTGTGGGCTGCAGCCACTGGGCAGCAGGGCTAAGGGATTTTTGAGGTGGGGAGCATAAATCATTAAGGGGTGTTTGTAAGAATTAACCAGTAAAACAGGAGTCCTTCAGGTCAGAAGCAAGGAACAAGCTTGCTAGAGCTCTACTCTTTATGGAAAGGGTCATGTCAGCTGAGTTACAGAGTCACGTTTTCTTCCCTTCTCCACTAAGCGTAGGCTATTCACAAGAAGCAGCCCTGGGTTTCTGGTTCAGCAGTTCCCAAGGCCTCTACGCTGAACTTGCATTTTGCATGCAAAATGCAATGAAAGCATTTGGCTAATGAGCTCATCTGGAACTCCCACGCCTCCACTCGGCACCGGCACCATGGTTGGTTGGGCCCTTCCATGACGAGCGGCAGAACAGCCAGGCACTAGCCCCTCCCAGATGGAATGTGATTCCATATCTCATGTTGCCCCCAGGGCTTCTGGGTCTGGATGGCACCCATGATGATCTTTGGATTCATGGACTAAGCCGACTGCATCCTTTTTTCCATTTCACTTGATTCATGAATACGAATTTTTTTTTTAAGGTTTTTATTGGGGAATTGGGGGAAGGGAAACAGACAAGTTGCTGTCCTTTTCTTCTTCAGTCTAGTTGTGGAGGACGTTTCTTCACTGGCCCAAGTTGGCACCATCAGTGTGCTCTTCCTGGGCGAGGCAGATCAGTCGCCGGCTTCTGGACGGCTGCTCACTGTGGCTGCTGGACGGCCGCTCACGCTGGCTGCTGGCTACATACGGTAGCCCATGGCAACCCACTGCAGCAGGGGCTGCAGCCTACGCCGTTGCCGGCGACTCAAGGCAGCCCAGCTCCAGGTTGAGCTGTTGTTCAGCATCTTAGCTGTGGAGGTCAGTGTCACTGGCCCTCATATGTGGGATCCAAACCGGGGCCCTCTGGCGTCCCAAGCCAGCTCTTAACCAACACGCCACTCAGCCGGCCCTCATGAATATGAATTTGAACTCACCCAAGGCCTTCAGTTGTATCTCCTCATGGTCTCTCTGACAAATCTGGTTGTGTGTTTGAGCTTTATATGCTGCCTATTTGCTGGAAGATTTAAGGGGCAATGGGCGTTCATATAAAAAACACACAATTTAGTAAATTATTCTGTGATGTAAAATTCCTCTTCCCAAAAAGAAAATGTTAAATCCTAATCAATTGTCAGTGGTAGGAGACCAGATCTGCCTGTGGCAGGGCATTAAACAATATGGGAGAGAGTTCCTACTTTGACAACATGATACTATAGTTACCTCGTAGGGATTATCTCTCTTTTTCCTTTAAATTTTCACTGGGAAGTTAAAGATATGCCGTGGGCAATAACTATGAAAAGGCCTTTAAGAGGAAGCAGAAATTATGGAAATAGGGAGTTTGGGCAGGGAAGAGCAACTTGTCAGTAAACTTCCTCACTGATGGAACATTTCAAAGTGCAGCACTTTAAAAGCTAGAGGGAGCGTTAACATTCCCAGGTACCTTCCAAATCTTCCAGGCTGTGAAGCAACTGAGATCTAACTACAACAGAACATGGTGGCAGAAGGTAGAGGGGAAGGAACGAGGGGTCAGATTGCACTGAGATTGCCTTGGTTAGTCACGCCCGAATGTGTCATCCTGTGCTTTTCTGTCAGATCCTGATAAGCATCTATGGAATTAGAAGAGCCTTCCAGGTTCCATGCCTGCAAAACCCCAGCCTCTTTTCTGTAAACGGCAAATGATTGATTTGTAGAAGTCAAAGGATTTTTTGTTAGTTTCCAAAGCTGCCTGTGTGGTTACATTGAAATCCTTGTTGGAACTAGAATAGCTTTTGTCTCCTTAATTATGATCACCCTGGAAAGAAGCTCAGATTTGCTTCTTTGTTCACTATGAGGTGAACTTGGAAGTTGGGAACAGTGGCTTCCAGAAGCTGGTGCATGGCAAATAGGATTCTGAGATTTTGTAACAAGTCATCCCTTTACCCTTAGTCCAGATTGTGCTTGAACTACCTTCAAACTAAGAGACAAAAAAAAAAATGCCTTGAATGCATCTGTATCAGATATTAACATGGCTTCTTTAGTGACTCACATGTGATGCCACACCTGTTATAAGAACTCCCTTTTCCATGCAGAGAACATAAAACCCTACATCTGTTACGAAATCCGCGTGCATGCGCTGTCGAGGGGCCAGGGAGGATGCAACTCCACCCGGGGTAACTCTAAGCACAAAGGTGAGTTCTGGGACCTTTTGCAAAATTTTGCTTTAATTATTTGGATTTGGAGGGTGGTAAAAGCCTTCTGTGTTCTACTTTACAGCACCACTGAGTGGCCCCTACATTAATGCCATCACAGAGGAAAAGGGGAGCATTTTAATTTCATGGGACGAAATTCCAGCCCAGGAGCAAATGGGCTGCATCCTCCATTATAGGATATACTGGAAGGAACAGGACTCCAATTCCCAGCCTCAACTTTGTGGTATGTGTGAGAAATCAGCGCAGTGGGGTCTTGCTTGTTCAGATGCCAGAACACAGATGTATGCATGTGCACACATATACAAAGTGCTCATACCATGCCTAGCACTTAGTAGGTACTCAATAATATTGTGAAATTAATTGCAGAAAAATAAAAGACATCTAAACATACACATGTGCGCGCACACGCGCGCGCGCACACACACACACACACACACACACACACACACACACACACAGACCGACCAAGCAAATTAAAGAAATGAAGACAATGGACTAGGCTCTCAAGCTTACTCATATGAGGAGACATTTCAAAACGCAGTAAAGGCACTTCAGTACTATTATATAGACCCTTGAGGTTTTCAAGGAATGTGTTTGGAGAATTTTTGAGTCTCCACATTTGCAAATACCATCATAGCATATTATTTTCTCCTCAAAATGGGGAAAGTACAATACAATTTAAGTCATTCCTTTATGATCTATAATATTCTGTAACTATAAGACTAAAGCAGCTAAAACAGTTTCTGATTGGAGCATTATCTCAAATGACTCTCTGCATCCCCCATTCATGGAGCAGCTCTAAGTCACTTGACAGATTTGATGTTCTAATGTCTGATTTATTCAGTTTGTTTGGTTTTTTTTTTCTTTTTTTTCCCTGGCTTGCCCTTCTCCTTATTTCATAGGCAGCTTACTTTCTTCCAGGAGAATTTATCATAAAGAAGCAACATTTTTGTTCCTTCATGGGAGATAGTAGGTCCAAAAGGAGTAACAAAGCCACCCTGAGATGTGGGGGCCAGAGTGCTGCCTGCAAGAGTGATTTTTACCTGGAAAACTTCAGGAGTCAATCGTCTCTCTTGACCTCAGAAGATCTGTAGTGTTGCTTTTCTAAGTTAGTTTTGAAGCTAGTTAATGTTTTCATTACTAAATAATACTTGCACATGGTAAAAAAACATTCTAGTAGTTCAGTAAGATATAAAATCAAAATTACCCCTTCCTCTATAGTTAGGCTTTTAGTAGTTCTTCATGTGTTCTTCCAGAAAAAAAATAATGTAATGCATATACAAGTATATTATTTGGAATAGTGATGTGTATTTTGATCTGTCCCTTGCATTCACTTCTCAGTAATACATATTGGAGATCTTTCCACATCAGTCTTCATGGACTTGCCTCACTCTATTTTTTTTAAGAGGATTTTTTTGGGGTTTTTTTTTTTAAAGATTTTTATTGGGGAATTGGGGGATGGGAACAGCACTGGGGAATTGGGGGAAGGGGAACAGACAAGTTGCTGTCCTTTTGTTCTTCAGTCTAGTTGTGGAGGACGTCGCTTCACTGGCCCAAGTTGGCACCATCATTGCGCTCTTCCCGGGCAAGGCAGATCAGTCGCTGGCTCCTGGACGGCCGCTCACAGCGGCTGCTGGCCGCTCACGCTGGCTGCTGGCCACTCACGTTGGCTGCTGGCTACACCTGGTAGCCCATGGCAACCCACTGCCACAGGGGCTGCAGCCTATCCCGTCGCTGGTGACTCACAGCAGCCCAGCTCCAGGTTGAGCTGTTGTCCAGCATCTTAGCTGTAGAGGGCAGTATCACTGGCCCTCATATGTGGGATCCGAACCGGGGTCCTCTGGCATCCCAAGCCAACTCAACCAACACGCCTCACTTTTTTTAATAGCTCTCTAGTGTCCCATTATAAAACCTTACAGTCATTCACTTAACTAACCCACCATTGATAAACAGGATGTATCATTGAACAGAATTGCTTCCCGCTGGGCCTGTCAAGGTAAGTCAGTCCTGAAAAGCACCCCAAAAAGTGATGAATCGGTTGACCTCTTCGTGAACCATTTCAAATCCTCCATCACCCCTCAATTTTCATTTTGGCAGAGTTTAAACCGAGATGTTTATTTACAACCAAACAGATGAACATGGTCATTTGGTTCTTAAAGCTGTCCTTGTAGATGTTGAAGAAAATACTACCTATTTTGCCACAAATATGAACCTAAGGTCTACATGAGGGTATTTTAAAATAAGTTAAAAGGGAAGGAGGCCCAAATTCAAAGTCCCATTTTATACCGGTGTGAATTAAATGTTCCTTTTATTCATTAAGCACTTACGATGAATAAGACCCGTTCCCTATCTTCACAGAGCTCACATCCTATTGAAGGGGATGGAAAAGTACACAAAAGTGATGTAATTGCTATAATTGAGGGCTGACAACTATCTGTTGCATTTGGCAACCAGAATCACAGGTGAATTCATAAGTGCAACTTCTAAAGAGTGACAGAGGGCAGATGATTGAGGGCAAAAGACTCCAAGAAAGAGAGGCACCACAGCAGCAGGAGGATGGAGTTTCAAGGGGAAGGGCACCGTCCACCCGGCCCCAGTACTAACAGCACATGCAGGAGCATTTAACCCTGCTGGGAGGAGAGGACAGGTGGAGAACTGGGATGGGGCCCACGCACCTGCCATGTAGTACATTTCTCAGGTGCTTCTGGTGCACAGCCTCCCCCCTGTGACTTCGTTGGTACCGTCATTTTCACCAATGGCAAAGGCACTTCTCTACTGGTGCACACATTATACTTTTTTACCACTCAGCGGTTTTTGCCCATAGACTAAGCATCATGAGGGCAGCCACCATGGCACTTTGCTAACCACTGTCTCCCCTGTACTTACAATACAGCCAGGCACACAGTAGGTGCTTAATAAAAACAGTACTTGTCGAATAACAAATGGGTGATTACTGCCTCACACTTTGTTAAACCACTGAAGACTGGTAGGGAAAAACTAATTTTCAATAACAGCAGAGCTGTTTTGCCTGACCTTCTTACCCAGTGCCTATCAGATGATTGACAACGCTCACATCTTCCTAAACTGGTGCTTTTGTCCTTTAACCACCCTGAGCCTAAAGTTTCAGATGGCCAAAGATCGAATTGCCCCCTTTATCTGTGCCTGAGATCACAGCCCAGACCTAGGCAGCAGAACCAGTATTTCCTGCAGGATTTCTTTCTCCCATTACTCAACCAAACTAGTTTGCCAACCAAGCTGCTGACACCATCACTCTCCTTAGCGCTCCCCACATAGAATGTCTATTTTTATTCTTCGTGTGTGTGTGTGTGTGTGTGTGTGTGTGTGTGTGTGTGTGTGTGTGTGTGTGTAAACATGTTGGCCCAGCAAACCATTCAAATCCCTTCCCTTCTGTTCTGACATCTCATTTCACTCCCAGAACTAAGGCTGCCCTGACTCAGGCTATCGACTCCCTGATCCTTGATGATGTTTTGGTGCAGCAAGAGCACAAGGTCTCTCCAAAATTAACTGTTTCATCCCCTGCCTTAGGAATAAGGAGCTTTTTTAGTTTAATCATATAGTTTAAGTCTGTGCAAGCAATTTTATCGTGTTAGAGGAAGCTCGGGAATCTTCCACATGGTACTTTTTCTCAACGGGATGTAACATACAGAAATTGCTGTGATAGTCACAGCTGTTCAATGATCTGCTCAGACTTCAGCCCCATTGGGTGGAGTGGCCATAAGATTACAGGGCTCCACCTTGTTGGTCACTCACAGTAAGCAGGGGTGGGAAGTGTAAGGGTCTGTTTTCTCCACTAGATGTGAGCTCTTTGAAGCAGATACTGTGTCTTTGTATACTTGGTGCCTTGTCCAGAGCAGATGCTCAATAAATATTTGTGACTGTTGAAATAAATTCAGCAAATGGGCATCATCTGACTTGCTCTGGGGATTGGTGAGCCAATAAATGATGTTGAGGCACAAAGTGCAGAGCTCTACTTTCCACTTTGATCACCAGCTCAGGCTTGACATGTCTGCTGAGCAAGCCCGCAGAGCTCCTGCGGAAGTTCTGGTCTTGGGTTTATAGTCCCCCCACCACCACCACCTCCCACCCCCCACCCAGGTTTTGAGAGGTTGTGCCAAACTCACACCCAACAGATGACTAGAGGAGAAGTTTGCCTATTTACTGAAGGCTACCCACAGTCATGTTTCTTGGAGGAGAAAAACAACATCAGTGCATTGCTCAAAAAAATAATCTTTCCTGCTGAGAATCTGCAGGGGTGTTGAGAGCATAGGGAACTGACGATATAGGCTTAAACTGCCAAAATAAACCTAATATTAAGTACCATTGTTCTAGGTTTTTTATTTTATGTCAGATTTAACAGATCATCATATTAAACCCACTAAACCCAATAATCTGAGCCTACAAAAAAAAGTGGAAAATCAAAATTAATAAATGTTGCTTAAATACAAATATCTATTTCATTAATTGCTAAACTTAGCTTTCTTAAAAATTCCATTGAAAACAATTTGTACATTAAATTTACTCCCCAAGAGTTCTCAAACATACCTGGTAAATGCCAGAAACATTATAATCAATAGGAAATAAAACGAATTAACTATAGCTAAATAATTTCAAAAGCAAAATGATAAAAATTCTTTCAAAAGATTTTGCCACAGAAAAAAACATTTAATTTTTCTGATATGCTGTAAGTGGGGCCTCCATAAATGAGTGTTTAGGACCTTGACAAGTGTTGAATACTAATGGACTATTTTAAAGCAGCAGTATGGTTTTTTCTTTCAAATTAAATGAAGTATTAACAAATAAAAATGAGTAAAAGCCTATATCCAAATGCTTCCTTTAATATGTGCCTTTCTTCCTTTATCTTCTTTTCAGAAATTCCCTATAAGGCCCCTCCAAATTCACATTTGATAGGCAGCCTGCAGCCCAGAGTAACATACGTCCTGTGGATGACAGCTCTGACAGCTGCTGGCGAAAGCCCCCAGGGAAATGAGAGGGAATTCTGTCTGCAAGGTAAGAAACAACTTCAGAGATGGAGTGTCCACCCTGGATTCCTACACAGATATACACTCCCACTGCCTTTGGCATAGAGATGATCAGATTGCCTTTAATTTGCTCATTTTCTTGCTGCTACACCTTTGTACTTGCTGTTTCCTCTAACTGGAATGCCCTACCATGTCACTGTCTGCTTGGAGACAGTGTCTACTCATTTTTCAAAACCCAGTGGAAATAGTTCCTCCTCCAGGAGGCCTTCCCAAATGCACCTCCATATTTCCTTCATAATGTACTACATTTGACGCATATTCACTCAAAATCCAATAGGCAGGGTCTAGAATCTATCTTCAAGGTCTAGAATGATGCCCAGCACAGAGTTCTTGTTCACACAATATCTGTTTAGTCAACTATGAGAATAATCTCAACAATAACAATAGCAGCTATTGCAATGCATATCAGATAATTATTAGGCACCAGTCAATGTCTTAAGTGCTTTGTGTACCGTATTAATTTGTTGGGGATCCTATAACAAAGTACCACAAACTGAGTGGCTTAGACAATAGACATTTATTTTGTCAGCTCTGGAGGCTGGAAGTCTAAGATCAAAGTGTAAGCAGTTGGTTTCTTCTGAGAGTTATGCATTTGTTTTATGCCTCTCGTCTTGCATCTGGTGGCAATCTTTGGCGTTCCTTGGCTTGTGGATCTCTGCCTTCATCTTCACACTGAGTTTTTCTGGAGTGTGTCTTTGTGTTCAAATTTCTCCTTTTTATAAGGACTCCAGGACCGGCCGAGTGGCTCAGTTGGTTAAGAGCTCGTTCAAGAGTTTGAGCTCTGAGCAACAGCAGTTCGAGTCTTGGCCCGAGCTGAGCTGCCGCTGAGCTGCCAACAGATGGCAGGATGGCTCAGCTAAAAACAAAACAAAACAAAACAAAAAAAATAAATAAGGACTCCAGTCATATTGGATTAGAGGCCACCCAACTTGTCTGAACTCATCTTAACTAATTACATCTGCAATGACCCTATTTCCAAACATGGTCACTTTCTCAGGTACTGGAGGTTAGGACTTCAATATATGAATTTTGGGGAAGGGAGGACACAATTCAATCCATACAACATGTACTTTTAATCATTTAATACTGACCACAACCATGTAAAATTACCTGCTTCACATGATTGTACCTGGTCACACTACCAGGCACTCAATATGAAATGAATATAGGAATAAGGGATTAGGATGCCTTTTTTACAAGTGTAAGGTACAGAAAGATTACCCAAGGTCATAGAGGTGGTAAATAGCAGAACTGCAAATCAAACTCAGATTTGAGTTACTTAAGTTAAATTTAAGTATATGGAGAAGTGACCCAGCTCTCATGGGCTTCCACCAGCTAAGTTACACTGCTGTTCTCTCTGGCAGCTCTAGTTTGTATTTGCTGCAAGCATAAAACAAGCTGTCCGTGCTTTGAGAGATGGAGTATCAAGTTGCTCATTCAGGACTTTGTTGTTCTATGCCAGATACTTCTCCACTGAGAAAACCAAAAAGCCCTCCTCTCATCTCCCAGCTGTTCCCATGAAAGTTAACTTATGAGCAATTGACTGAATTAAGAACTCATCAGCTTTCTACTGGTGGTACTCCACATTTGTCCTGTGTGCTCAGGAAGGCAGGTAGATGCTGAAGCAATGTCAGACTGTGCCCAGTGTGGGGTGATGACAAGGCTGCCTGTGTTAGCTCACCCGTTCAGCCCTGGTAACATCTCTCACCAGGCCTAGCAGGTCTCTGGCCCCTAGCTCCTGCCTGCTCACCCTCCCTCCCAGCCCACCCTTCACTCTATCAGAATCTTTCTGCAAGACCCCCAATGCTGACATTCACCTCTTGTTGCAACCCATCAGTGGCTCCCCAAGAGCATTCAAGCTAGAATTCAAACTGCTTCCTTACCAGGCCCTGCATGATCTGGTCTGTTCGCTTATCTAGCCTCGTCTTCTGCCACATACTTATCATTCATACTCAGCAGCACTAGACTACCTGTAGTTGCACCAGTGCTGTGCTGTTTCTGTCTTTCATGTAGTTGCATAGTTCTGTCTAGTCTGTGCTTCCCTAACTTGTCCACTTAGCCAACTCCTATCCATCCAACTCTAAACTGCTGATATCATGCCTTTTGGGTAACCTTCCTGAGCTGCTCACAAGGCCATTTCCCATGTTGTTCTGTGCTACACTGCCTTATATCTGCCCATTTTTACAATTGTTTCCATGTTTACACATCTACATGTATTTTTTGGACTACATCCATGACTTCTGAGGACAACAGAGCCCATGCCCTATTCATCTTTGTACTTCAGCACCTAATAGGGCCTGGTACATGGTGAATAATGAATGCTGGATGAATTCATGAATAATTCCAACGTGTAGTGAAATACATGTTCATAGGAAGAAATCAAAACAATTTCAAAGACCCTAGTTAGAGCGCTTCTTCAATGTTTAGTAAAATTACTACCTACTATTTCTTGAGGGCCTCCTATGTTCATACATTGCCATATGCTTTAAATACACCATCCCTAGTCTTCACAAGCAGCAAGGTAGACATCATTTCACCATTTATAGAACAAGAATCTGAGGTCCACAGATCATATATGTCAGTGGAAGATCCAGTACTAGAATTAAGAGCTGCTGGTTCACAGCCAGTGCTTTGTATGCCACCACCCCCCCAACACACACCCTTTCCTTCTGATAAAGAGGAAGCAGCCCTTGTAGGGCAGGAGCTCCTCCCAGAATTGTAGGATTGGCCCGTTTAGGACCCCTTCTCCCTAACTGGACAAAAATGAGTTGGCCTTATTCCTGGGCCCACTACTCAGGAGCTGTGGGTACGGCTCAGAGGGCTCACACAGCAGTATTGTGAAATGTTCACTGAACATAACTCAGTCACAGGGTTTGCTGTCTTTTCAGGTAAAGCGAATTGGAGCACATTTGTGGCACTGAGCATTTGCATTGGTATTACCATCACAGTGGGCATTTTCTCAGTGTGTTACTTCCGGCAAAAGTAAGTTGGTTACACCTGCCAATTTTGGTAAATGTGTTTTGTTTTTAATGATAATAGTTGTTGCTGCTATGAGTCAAACAAGTAGATATTTTCATACGTTGCTGGTAGCAGACTAAATCTATTCCACTTTTTGGGTTGACAGTATGTTAAATTTTTTAAAAAGTATTCTACCATTGACTTAGCAATTCCGAAGTAGAAATTTACTCTCCAGTATATCATGCGTGTGTGCAGATATTTGGTGGCAAATATGTTCACTGAAGTCTTCTTCATAAAAGGAAAACAATTTGAAATAATCTAAATGCTCCGTGACATGGAATTAACTGAATCACGATATATCTCATGCTATCTAGCAGTAGTATGTATCCATTAAAGATGTAGAAGAAAATTAAATCATATAACTACTTGCTATATTAGATCTTAAAAAGCAGTTCCTAAGGAAGAGGGGGAAACAGGTTATTGGGTGGCAATTAGTATTCTCTGCCCCAAGGCTACACACCAAAATATTAATGGTAGTCATAGGTGGGAACAAAATCATAGGTGATCTTAGTTCTATTTAGATGTCTTCTAAAATTTCCTTAAACTTGTATTTTATTGAGAACGTTTAAATGTGTTACTTATCCAGTACAAAGTTTTCTTCAGATGTTGTTTAAATTAAGAGGTAAAAACAAAACTAGTTACAAGTCATCCTATTAGCCATTGAACTCGTCTGGCAAAGCTTTACATTGAAGCACCCATGTGTGAATAGGTACTTCAAAGCAGAACTCTTTAGGTAGATTTTGAAACAGTTTAACTCCAAGAGTCTGCTGTTTAAAAAAAAAGAGACCTCAAAATATAGTGGCTTTAGTAAAATAGTTTATTTCTCTCCCATGTAAGAGTCCTGAGGTAAGTCAGTCATCCAGGTTGGTTGGCAGTTCTGCTCCACACAGTCATTTGGGGGCCCAGTTTTCTTCATTTCATTGGCCCTCCAACCCTTGGGCACTGTCCTCAACTGCATGATCTCTACATACTAGGTTACAGGTACCTCTGCTCAAATTTCTTTAGAGAAAAAGTAGTCACATGGCCACATCTCTTGCTTTAAAGGGCTAAACACATTCCAGCTTACTGGTAATTCTTATTAAATATCAAAGCACTGTGGTAATATATCAGGGGTTTAATTATTGTTTGCTGAATGAGTGCATGGCTCTATAGTGACAGCTAAACATTACTTGAGCAAAAGCTCCATAGTTTATTTAGCAAACCCTAAGATTTTAAATTGTGTCATATTGGTCTTGAATTTTAAAAAATATTGTCAAAATATTTAAACCACATGCATTCATATGAAACATTTTTAGGAATTTTTTTTCCTTCCACATCATAAGCTCATTTTAAAATATTTTCAAAAACCCGTATTTCTTCTGATACCCAAACACAAGTATAGTAATACCTTGGTTTGTGAGCATAATTCGTTCTGGGAACAAACTACTTGTATTGCAAGACATCACTCGTTTACCAAGTTAAAATGTATGAGAAATGTTTGCTCGTCTTGCAGAACACCTGCAAACCAAGTTGCTCGCAATCCAAGGTCCTACTGTACTGTTAACAGTTTTGGATGTTTATGGTATTTTCTTCTTACACGGTTTATGTTCAAGCTATTTATCATTTGTATCTTTTTTTTATTTTTAGCACAATTTACTTGTCATTACAAACTCTTCATAAAAATTGTAATTAACTAAACAGTAAGCACCAAGGGTAGGGACCATGTCTTCTAATTTGCTGTTCTATCCCAGCACTGTGGTTATATATTAGGGGTTCAATTATAGTTTGCTGAATGAGTGCATGGCTATATAGTGACAGCTAAACAATACATTGAGCAAAAGTTCCATAGTTTAGTTAGCAAACCCCAAGTGGTTATCTCAACTCTATATCATCTCTCCAGACTTCACAGAAAACTAGTGCAGCCTCAGATGACGTATCATCTTTCTCCCTCAGTGTTCCCATGTTACTCATTGGCATACCCCTCCACTGAACGACGGCTCTACTGAAATCACTGCACTGAGAACCACTGCTTCCATGCCATCGAGGACACACTTAACCAGATGCCAATGTTTTCTTTATCTCTAGGGTGTTTGTGCTCCTTGCAGCCCTCAGACCTCAGTGGTGCAGAGAAATTCCAGACCCAGCGAATAGCACTTGGGCCAAGAAATATCCCATTGTGGAGGTAAGATATAAAACCACAGCGGTCAGTCAATGGGGTTCTAGAAATCAGCACATCTAAGTTTCCCATTATATTTGGAGGGAACCTGCGATCCTATGAGTAAGCTGAAGTCTTTCACGCTAGCTTACCAGCTGAGTCATCACTCCCATGCAGTCATTTTCTGAGCCTTATGACCAAAAGACTACATAACTCATAGCTTTTCATTCCTGTCTATGCCTTATGTTCCCCTTCTCACCTCATGTCCAACGAAATAAAACAGCATGTATTTTTGCCATTTGCTGAGCACTAGTCTGAGCACCAACTCATTCAAATTCAAGAGAACTAAAGCTTTGCCATGATGTTCCCAGTCCTGTGTGAGCATAGAACAGACAAATAGAGTCCACACTAATTTGGTTTGGGCAGGAAGCCAGGAAGTCATTCCACTGTGCACAGAAAAGGTTTTCAGGAGAGGCTGCTCAGCTGCAGGTGGGAGAGCTAGAGTCAAGGAAGTGAGGGGAGCTGCTGCTGTGCAGCCCCAGGAGGTGAGAACAGCTCACAGTGGGCAAGGTGGTTCCCCCTCTGGTGGAAGGTCTGGAAGATGAAGGCATCTGGATATGGCACAAGACTGTGTATTTAAGGAAAGCAAAGTGGAGGGGAGCGGTAGCCAATAGCCTCCCCATTACCCCGGGTGTTGGTAGCCCCACTCCCTTTGTCACACCGTATATCCCTCCTCCGAAGTTCTTTGCCTCAGTTCCCCAGTGCATTCTATCATCTACACCCTTCCTAAGACCAGAAGCCAGTGCAACCAGCCACTGCTCAGGGAAAGAGCTGGTCTCAGCCATGTCTGCCTCGGTAGGAATTTAAGTCACAAAGGCAGCTGAGTGCCTTTAAAATAAGGCTTGGATGTAAACCTCACCTCTGCCACTTACTACATGGATGACCCTTGGGCAACCTGCCTGACATTGGAACCCTCGTTTCATCCTCTGTAAAATAGGAATTGACAATATCTCCCATGTATACTGTTGTGAAGATTAAGTAAGATGCCACATAACGCACACGGGTCACACAAGGCAGATTGCTCACTTTCTTCCCAGGAAGGCTCATACTTGATGTCTCCTCTATTGAGGGCTTTTGTGCCTGTTAAGTTGTAACAGCAAGAGCAGTAATAACAACAGTAGCATACACCTGGGGTGCCAAAAAAATGTATACACATTTTAAGCAATGTTATCTATATATGTATTACTTTTCAAAGTTGAATTATGGTAGCAACGTGTAGTACGATGTTTGCTCAAAAGATGGTGTTAATCAAATGAATGCTAGTGTCATTCACTGTATTACAATTTAAGTTTTCTCCCTTCTTAAAATGTGTATACATGTTTTTGGCACCCTCTGTAGATATATATATATATATAGACACACACACATATATATGTATATTTACACATATAAATTATATATCTACAATCTACATGATATAGTTATAGTATGGTAGATAATTGTATTATTTCTGTATACATACATATTACTTTACATATGCCAGACACTTTAAAAGACGTTTTTCATGCATTAACATCTAATCCATACAGCTTTATAAAGTTGTACTGTTATCCTCATTTTCCAGATGAGAAAACTGAGGTACAAAGGACCAAACTTGCCCAATGTTAGTCAGCTAATAAATGTTGGATCCCAAATTCACATAAAAGTAGGATATGCTGTCCGCCATTATACTGTACATCCTAAAAGATCTTTAAGCACGGGTGTGAGGGGCGTCTTTCGAGAAGTCAGCACCTCCGAGCTGAATACACTAAAGAGGTGTTCACACACAGGGCCCTCATCCAGTGATGACCTGTGGGAAGGCACTCTGTAAGGATACCTCTGCTAGTGTAAGAGGGGATTCAAGTACTAGGAGTTGAGCCAGCCGAGCTTTAAGGTCTTCTCTTCCCGTGTTGTGATTGCAGTCCCTTGTCCTAAAAGCCTGAAACAGCATGGTGGGAAGCAGCTCCGGGTCAGTCATGGAAACCTGGCTTCCCACGCTGGTAGCTTTGGTGTCATAGGCTCTGTTTGCCTCTGCCTGGGCATAAGGGCCCATAAAAAGCCTAGAAGAAATGCTAAGACATATAAAGGGTTTGAGAAAATAACACAGGGAAAAGGTAACCGAAATTGCCACACATGTGCCCGAAGTTGTATAGTATAAATATTCATTGCAGCATTATAAATAGAAGCCAAAAAGTGGACATAATGTAACCTGCCACCAGGGGGGCAGGTTAAACATTTTGAGTGTATCCGTACAACAGGATATTATGCAGTTACTAAAAAAAAATCTCTATGTGTTTAAAAATCTCTAAGATACTTAAAGTGAAAAAAACAAAGTTTGTAACAATTGTCTGAAGTGGGTTCTCATCTGTATAAAAAGTAGATATACACACACACACACACACACACACACACACACCCTCCCCTCCCCCACCTCCTCATGCGCACAGGGTATTTCTGGAACCCTACATACGAAACTGATCATTGGGGTTGCCCTTGGGGAGGGGGTTGGATATGAAGGCCACTTAATTTTCATTACAAATGAAACTTTTAAACTTTTAAACCTTTGAACTTTTAACATTTCTTACAAAACTATGTGCATCTATTTCTTTTGCAAAAATAACTGGTAAATTAGAAAGTTTTAAAAATTTATCTTAAACAAGGCATCTGTGATGGCCTTGAGGCCGCCTTAGAACCCTGCTTGCCACTCAAAGTGGGTAGACTGTTTTTAAAGACCCAAACTGCTCTCCTGGTGACAGGCTGAGGCCATAGTCCGTCTTTCATCTCCAACAAAATGTTTTCAGTTCTCAGGCCTTACAACCCCCTACCATTTCTTAAGATGTGGCTAAAAAACCACATGTCTTAAAAGCTCTGGAGGAAAAGGCTAAATCATAAAGGGGATCGCTGGAATGTTATCCATGTTGAGCCTTTAAAAGCTTACAATAGTGTCCTTGAAGTACCTGAGCTAATGGTGGTCTAAGGCCTTGCCCCAGAGGGAGGTCCTGCTTTGTAAGAGCTGAGGAGCAAGCAGCCTTGTCAATATTGCCAAAGCCTTCCAGAAGGCAGAACCTCACCCTAGGTAATCTCGCCCACATCTGTGACAGCCACTTAGTTTCCCAGAGCCTCCCGCCACGTTCCAAGCCACACCCGGTGTGCCAGAACCAGTTTGGGAGCAATCGGAAGAGGAGGCTCCCAAGAGAAACATGTACATACCCTCTAGCTTGTCAGGGCCCTTTGCAGAAGTCTGTCCTGGGACAGCACCGTCATTTACTTTTTGGAAACTTCTCATGCTCAAGGCAAGGGAGTGGACAGCAGAGCCACTCCAGACCAAATCACTCTTGCACAACATGGCAGTTGACAGATGAGGGAACTGAAGGCCTCAGAGGTTGGGACTCGTCCTCAGGCTTTGCCCTGTCCCGAGGCTAACTTTTTTTTGTCATTCTGCTCCTCCCTGAAGACATGGTCCCTGCTCATAGACAGCTGGCGGAAATATAAAATGCTAAATAAAAGTGGCAGTATAGAGCATCATGTGCCAAGAAGCTAACGGGTGGTTTCTTCGCTGCTGTATTCCAGCGGAGGGAACACACTAGGGACTTCGTGATAGAGCAAGGTGTCAGGCAGGGGATGGCAGGGCACACAGAAGCAGGTGGGGGCTGGCAGCGGAAGCATGGATGGCGGCGGCAGAGAAAAAAGGTTTAATAAGACCAGGATGGTGTGTGCCTGAAATAGTTTCTGAATGAAAACATGGGGAAGTGGAGGAAGGTGCAGGAACTTGGCTGCCAAGCTAAGGGCTGGAAGCTTTACTGCCTGTGTAAGCCTGAGTACTTAAAGGCTGTGGAGCTTTGCTTTAGAAAAGCAGTCGATGTGAAAGATGGTTTCCAGGATGTAAGGAGAGCCCAATAAAGCCCATTAAAAGAAATGTTAACAAAGTGCTTGGACTCGGCAATCAGCAGTAAGTTTGGAAAGAAGAGCTGGTAACCAATGCACTGGTTATGAAAGAGGAAGCAAGCAAGAAAAGTAACAGACAAAATTAGGTAGGGGGAAAAGGATAAAAATTTCTTCCAAAGAATTATTCTAGAGGGGTCTTTTTTAAGAGTAGAACTGATAGATATTATCCTGCCTAAAACCTTTCAGTAGTTGTATCAAAACCTGAACTCCTTAGTATCCCTTGAAAGTCCCTTCATCACGTGACCTCCTATTTCTGAAGCCTGTTTTCCTGTCATAAGAACTAGCAGGCTCCAGAATAGACCTGTCCTCCTTGCCAACAACCTCCCTATTTAGAGAATAGTATACGTCTCAGTATTCAGCTCTCGTGTGACCCTTTTGGTCTTCCCTGCCTCCTTCCCCAGAGGCAAGCTCAGCCTTTCCTTTGCACCCAGTATGCCCTCTCCTAGAGGAAAAGCAGCTAGAGCATTCCGACTCATCAGGAAATCTGGCTGAAGGTGAGCAGGATAGTGACTCATTCACTGGCTGGGGGTTGAGGAGTCCATAGCTCCTGCTTGTCTGTCTCCCTGACAATGTTAACTGCTTCTCTCTCCTTGTAAAGTCAAGGACCCACAGTGTCCCACTGCAAGCTGACTAGGCAGTGCAGGCTGTGAGGCCTTTTAAAACCTAGAAGTCAGCTGACATGGCTGCTTCCTTAACACAGCCATCTGAGCCTCTTCCTCCTCTTTCTCAGAAGGCACAGCTGCCCTTGGACAGGCTCCTGACAGACTGGTCTGCTTCCGAAGAACCTGAGCCCCTGGTCATCAATGAAGTCCTTAATCAAGTGGCCCCCATCTTCCGACATCCCCTTCGCTCCAAATGGCCAGAAAAGGGACGAGGAGTCCAAGGTCACTATTCCTCTGAAGAAGACAGTGCCTCAAGCCCATCACCTCCAAGTGCTCTCTCAGTGGAGACAGGACAACTAGTGGATCTGTACAAGGTGCTGGGGAGCAGGGGCTCTCACTCCAAGCCCCGAAACCCAGCCGGCCCCTTGCCAGGCCTCCTTGTGGACTACCTTCCCACCCACGAGGGCTACTTACCCTCCAACACAGATTCTCTCCCTTCACAGGAGGCTCCTACAGCTGACCCCCTGGAAGAACTAGAGCCTCAGCACATCTCTCTCTCCATTTTCCACTCAAGTTCCCTTCACCCGCTCACCTCCTGTGGTGAGAAGCTAACTCTGGATAGGTTAAAGATGGGGTGCAGCTCCCTCATGCTTTGAGTGGCAAAGCTTGAAAACTGGAGTACACACCCCCCCCAACCAGCACAGCATGCCCGTCAACCCAGCCCCCTGCTCCAGGTGCCACCACCTCTAGGTGCATGCCACCATCAGCTGGAGCGCAGTCAAGCCAGCTCAGAGTGGATCTCGGGAACGGAATTGGCTATAACCCAGATACCTCATCTTGCCTTGTCCAGAGCCTTAAGATTACATCCTCCACTGTGTGGACCTAGAGACTCCAATAGAAGGCCTGCAACTTTCTTGACTACGCTGGCCAGAAAGGGGAAAGGAAACCAAAACTCTCACTAGCAGTAGCATAAGTCCAGAGGACCATTCATGCAACTGTTTATAAAGCAGCTGTTACATACCAGATGTTGTCTAGATCAGTACTGTTCAATAGGCCTTTCTGAGAAGTCTTCTATATATTATCTACACGGTTCAATACAGCAGACACTAAGCACATTGGCTGTTCACTCTGGAATGTGACTAGTATGACTGAGGAACTGAATTTTGACTAATTAAAAATCACAAGTGGCTAGTGGCTGCTGTATGAGAAAACGGCCCTAGACGATGGACACACTAGTCATTACAGCAGAACCATCAAAACAGATCAACCTAGTCTTATACACGTGAGGACATAAAAGACCCTAGTGAACACCAATATAGGTGCTCCCACGATGGTCGTGACTGTCCTTATTTGTGGAAGCCTAAGACTACCTTTTTGGTAGTTTTGCTAGTTTATTTTGCCTTCACCTTCTTTCAGTGAATCAAGAGCAGCTGGACGGTGGACAGCTATCAGAAACCTAGTTAGGACCTTAAGCAATCAGCCTTCCCTCTGAAATCAGATGTCTTGATAAGGAGTGGGATGAAGGCTCTCTGACCCCATGTTTCCTCCACCTGCTGCAGCAAGTGCTGCCTTAAAGACGAGGGCGGTCTCAGATGCGTCTAAGACCCAACTACCACAGTTGCACTCTTAAGTCCCCCATCCCGAAGACATCCTGCTTTCCTTCCTCAGGAACTGAGCTGGTTCTCAGGTCCACATTGAGCCTGTAGTTCTCTCCTCCCCAGAACCAACTTGGAACATAACATGTTTTACTCCTTTAGAGCTCTGGCCCCTGGCTTGTCACCTTCCCCTCGCCCATCGCTGCCTCTGTTCCTTCACTATAGGCACTTTCTGAGCTGCTGGGAGTCTTGGTTTAAATGCTAATAGTACTCTTCCCAAAAGAACAGGAATGAAAGGTCCAAGAACATTTTCCTTAAAATCCCTGTCAAGCCTGGGACCTACCTACAGCCCTGTGCCATCCAAACACTAGAATTGAGACAGTTCTATTAGGTTTACCAAACATACCTCAGAGCTCTAGAAATCAAAGTAACACTTCTTATTCATGTTTAACTCTTCATTCATGCTTCCTGCCAGTCCACACTTAACATGTTTAGTTCTCCCAGGCTTTCTTTGAAGAGCTCAAGCTCTTCCTTACATCTCTATTCTACTTTTCAGCCGCTGTGCAACACCCCACGAGTCTCCCCGATCTTAGCAGCTTCAGCAGTGGCTTGTCTGCAACCAGAATGTGGTGCCCTTTTGTTTGCAATAGGCCGAGACAGACAAGGCCACCTTGAGAAGCCAGCAAACCTATCACCTCTTGGCAATGGAAGCCAATTTTTCTTTCTTGAAATACCTGTTTTTCGTTATCTTTGAGTTTCTTTTGATTACCTGATATCCATCTCAGTCAGTCCTCCCTTCCCCACCTGTCCCCAAAGACCAGCTCCCAGTCTCCCTTTTACCCCTCTACACATCCTTTCCCTCCTCTTAAAAGCCCCGGGGGATACTGCAGTCTTCATCTGTTTTCCTAAAGAACCATGCATGTTTCCCCAGCACCATGCCTGCTGCATACATAGTAGGCTATTAATAAAAAGTAAAAGATGTCACCACTGCTTTCATCTTGTTACGTTCAGAAGCCAGTCCAGCTGTGCCTGCTTCCTTTATTGGAACAACTGAGTTTGCATCTGTTCCGCTTCGCTCCCAACCCCTTTTCTACCCCTGTTCACTGACAGCACTGCTATAATAAACTAAACTGCAGTTTAGTTTAAAAACATATTTGAACAAGACGGGCTGCTCACTCTGCCAGATAAAATGTCCTCTTGCCATGAATGACAGATAGGTAACTTCCTTCTACCCTTGCCCCAAGTAGTTTTCACACTCCCTCTTCCTGCCACTCCCCCCACCCAACAAAATCCCAAATTAGGTTGCCTAGTTTACCAGGAGGAGCTCACCAATATATAGGTGGAGCTCACCGAATCATACAGCCAGACTTTCATTCCTCAAAGAAAACTAGTAATGATTTAAATCCTCACTCCTGGTATACATCCAAAGTCAACCCAGAAATCTCTGCTATTTAAACACATCAAAATTCTCAGGGACCTAAATACTACAAATAAAGTCCAAATTCACGCTTAATGGATTCATGAGAATCTTCACCATTAATTCTTGTATAGAAATCCTTACTTTGAATTGCTCCTTTAAAGGGCCCTCTTTCCCATAAGCCAGATTTTGTTTCCTGAGCTTCTCTCTTCCTAACTGACAATACGAAAAGTCAAACTAGTGTTATCTAGTTCTTCCCTTTTACTGCCTTTTCCCCTCCACCCTGTCCCAATTTCTCAGCTTCCATTAATAGTCTACAGCTGCAACTACTGATGCCCTGAGGCCAGTGAAAGAGATGCCAAGCTAGGCACATTCTATTCTAGTCAAGCCCCCATGTTCGATTCTTTTTTTTCTCCATCAAGCTCTGCCTTTTTCTTTCCCTTGATGCAGTTAATCATCTGTCCCAACATCACTGCTCAAGCCCTCCAAAGGAGCCGTTTTTCTCTTCCTAACCTGCAGGACTCATGTTCACATTATCCAACCTTATTTAAGGCTGACAGGTGAATCCTCAAGTAAATCACTCTGTAGAATAAGATATCATAAAGGTCTCTTTCCCCTAAAAAACATAAATAAGCAATTCCAATCAATAGGCTAACTGACAACGAAAAGAAACAAGTCAGATCTTTACATCAGCCTATACTGGAATAAGTTTCCAATTAAAACTGCAAAACTCACACACACCAAGTTAGATAAAAATATTTGCAACATATGCCCATGGATAACGTAATTAAATAAGGCACTTACAGATCAATATGAAAAAAGCCAACACTTCAAAGAAAAATGGATGGAGTTAAAAACATAAAATACATTAAATGCCCAATAAATATGAAAAACACAATAACCTGTAGTCAAAGAAATAAAACTTAAAACACTATTTTTCACTTACCAAATTAGCAAAACGAAATTTTAAAAATCAGCCAGTATTGAGAAATTGGTGTTCACAACCAGGTATGCTAGCTGGCTCCTTTCTGGAGGCAGCTGGGCAATACAACTCTACTCCTAGCAAGGTATACCAATATCAGTATAAATAACATGAGTAAAATTTGTCACAGCATTGATGAAAATGGAAGGAGCCAAAATGCCCTTTAGTAGGGATTTGGTTAAATCATCTATAAAACAAAACACTGAATTTCATCAAATATAAGACTACCAATTTTAGAATACCCCATTGTTTTAAATAGAAAAAAATATGGCTAATTAAACCCTAATATGCCATCGATTTCTATAGCGCACACCCCCTCCTCCACATTTTAACATGCCTGAAACTGGAATGGATCTTAAAATCGACAAAAAACATACTATGCAATCTTTTATAAACAATATTTGACATGAAAATGCTGTTACAAAAGACTGAATAGAACCATCTCATCTTAATAAATCAATGCAAAAACATTTTGAAATATACACCAAAATGCTAACAGTGGTTACCTCCAGCCGTTAAGTTTTTAGATTACATTTTTGCATTTCCATTGCAAATACTCATTACTCTTATAATTGGAGTCAATGAAATATACATTATCATTTTTTTTCCCCATAGACTTGGGTCTAGAGCAGCGGTTCTCAACCTGTGGGTCGTGACCCCTCTGGGGGGTCAAACGACCCGTTCACAGGGGTCACCAGGTACTCGTATGTGGGCGTATCTGCATGAGGGCCTGGAGATGGATAGAGGAGCGGTGTCTCGGTTCCTAAGACCATCGAAAATATGTTTTCTCTGATGGTCTTAAGCGACCCCTGTGAAAGGCTGAGAACCACTGGTCTAGAGACAGACACTAACCAACCACTTTCTTTATGGCCCATCTCTTTCATCCTCCATTTTGTCTGGCACTTTCACTGACCCTTAGTTTTCTTGTCAGATGGTAGAAAAGGCAAATTAGATGACACATTAGGGTGGGGGTGTTAGTTGGGGAATGTTAGGGTAATAACTGAAGCAATGGATCTTTGAAATACAAAGTGTATAAGAAGCCAATTTGTGCCAAACTCCCCTTCTAACAAGAACTGTTAATGATTAACATATAACAGTACTTAACTGTCCCTTGGTATCCTCAGGGGATTGGTTCCAGGACCCTCTCCCAACCCTTGCATACCAAAATCCTCAGATGCTCAAGTCCGTATATATAAAATGGTGTATTTGCATATAACCTATGCACATCCTCCCATAGACTTTAAATCTCTAGATTACTTATATCACCTAATACACTGTAAATCGTACTGTTAACATTTAGGGAATGACAAGAAAAGTCTGTACATGTTCAGCACATATGCAACCACCTTAGGCCTAACTACATAGTACCTGTCAGCAACAATGTGACATTTTTTTCAAGTATTTTCAATCTGCAGTGGGTTGAAACTGGATTTAGAACCTGTGGATACAGAGGGCTGACTGTAACACAGTGCATGCAGTTTTTAAGACATGTAACTCAGTTCTCACCACCACTGGTTAAGGTAGGTGTTGTCTACGCTACAGATGAGGAAACTGATACAGGTAACTCAGCCAAAGTCACACAACTAGTACCTGATACCAGACAGTCTTGTTTCACAGCATTAACTTTCAATTATACAATCCCTTTCTATGCAAATGACTGCTCTACAAATTTGCATCAATTGGGACTTTGACAAAAACTGATATTGCATAAAAATCTTGGAAGCGTTTTTACTAAGTAACCCAAACCTGGCATTTCCATACTTCTAAAGTTCTGGATCATTCTTGGTTAAGAAATATACCTTAAAACCGGGTACATTTTATAACAAATGACACCAGGACAAACCTGGTACTCCTGAATTTGCGAATTTGTCTACCTAATCTAAATCCAATACAAAGCACAGGTAGGCCACAGAAAGAAGAAAACACTCCCAAGAAAGTCCACTATTTTAAAGAAATTGATAAATGTAGTTAAAGATATTAAAAACGTTAGGCCTTCCTTTTAAATAGAAAAGCAATGTTTTCTCTTTCATTAAAATAGCAGTAACCCCACCCAATTTACCTGATTTCCCCCCCAAACATGAAGGCTATATCTTAAGCAAAAAGGAATTAGGATTGCATTTTTGTTGACTCAGTTTTGTTGCTCGTATTGTTGAAACACAAACATCTTTCCTTTATTCTGTGGTAACTAGCTCCATATTTTGCTAGTGGTCATTTATTTACAAGTGGTTCTTACGTTGATTCTGCTGAGATTTCAATCACATCTTTAAGAAAAATACAAACCTTTTATGTGCTGCCATGGGGTCCCTTTAAGTCAACTGAGGCCACTTTTCAATTTCCACAACTTTAAGGAATTATTCCGTAAGAGGCCCTGCCCTTGTCTAGACAAGAGAATGTAGGTGAGGTTCAAATTACCTTTCCTAGCCAATTTCAGACATTTTACTACCTATAGGTGATAAGACTATAAAAGCTATTATAAGAAATTCAGAGAAAAAATTATTCTGAAAGGCCCTAAACTTGCACTGGGACAGGAATACCCACAGGCAGGACATTTTCACTATATTCAAAGTGACAAAAACATTCTTTCAAAACTGGATAAAAATTAATAACAACAAATTCTTTGTTCCTTTATGAAAGAAAATCTCAACTCACTTGCTAAATGGCTGTCTCTCCCTGCTCGGTTAGCTGAGAACATGGCCTGTTTTAACCTGAGGATATTTTTGTACTGTCTAAACCAACAAACCTGGAGACCCGGATCCCCAGCCCTCACCAGCCAAAAAACTGTCTCAAGGTGAAAATAGGACGCTGCAAGATTTCATTTAGAAACAGAAATCTTACTTTATTCCATGACAAAGGGAGTAAAAGGTCATTTGCCTTCTTTTTGCAACGCTGTACAACATACTTGTTTCCTAAGTTTTTTCTCCTCTCATATTTGTATTACAACCCCACAACTAGATACCTTTGCATTTCCGTAAATACTCCCTGTAGTTTATCCATTCTGATCTTTGGCAGCATAGCTTTCAGTGCATCTGAGTTGACAGTTTAAAAAAAAAAAACACCCACTTTTGACCCGCTTGCATTAGATTAAAATAACTTGCAAGGATAATTAAGCCAATAAAGCATTTCTCCAGCTACAGATGCAGTCTTCAATTCAAATTCTTCCCTCTAAAAACTTGCACTTAAAAAGTTTAGTAACTGAATCATAGGTAGCAAGATTGATGATCCTGGAAAAATGCACTCCTGTAACAAGGTACTAGTAATGTTCCTCAATCAATATAGTAGCAATTTCCTCTTAATAAAACTGTCCCTTTTTCCTGAAGACAGCTTCTTTCTCAGATGATTTTAAGTATTTTCACTTAGTATTACGTAGCATCCAAAGCACTTCTCTACTTATGACTTTCAGCTCTACTTTTTGACTCAAGAAGCAAGGGAATCAGTCCTATTGTTAAAAACTTTGATCTACTGGATTTTGTTGATAATAGTGACTAAGTTCCACTCAGTCTTCAAGGCCTACTGTTATGAACATAATACAGTAGTCTGAAGTACACTACACTTACTAGGTATGCTGATTTTTTTCCCTTACTGGTGACCAATGAACATGTCTTAAAAGGAGCTTGATCCAATTGTCTTTCATGCATCCCTCAGAAACTCCTTACAAACTAGCACCTAAGTGAAGCCTTATACATTTTGTATACACATACACAAAAATCAAGTTGAAATCAAATTATCTGTAGTTTGTAGGAAAAATTGTGCCTTTTTACTAGGGGGAAAAATAGGAAGCTTCATTGGAAATTCAGAATTTCGGGTGAGAAGACAAACCAATTGCCTATCTAAAAAGAAAGTTATGTGTTTAGTTTAATTCACCAATCATCAAATCTTGAACATCTTCAGCCATGAAACTGGAGGCAGGAAGGTAAATCCACCAACTTCTCTGATGTGTTTAGTCATCAATTTCCAAATCTCTGGTAGTCTGAACACAGAATCTAAACATGTGCTCATCTAAGTAGTGATCAAGTATGTCTGCCAAACAAAGCAGCATTTCACTATGGATTATTACACTCAAGGTTTGAAACAAGGGATTCAACATGCAAAGTCCCCTAAATGTCTGACATTATGTAAGGCAGTCAAATGTTAAGAACCAAGTTCAGCCAGACCACTTTATACAGAATCTTCATTCTAGATAAATGAAAACCGATACCATTTATTCAAATTAGGTCTTTTTACATTCCTAAAATCTGTTAAGAGAAATGAATCAGCTACAACTGCAATTAAGGTGATATAAACGTTATTTTCCAAAGATGAGCTACTTATTTTCCCTACTTAGTTCACCTAATGACAAGTATCAAAATCCTGAATATTAGAGCCCTTCTTTTCTCACATTTCCATACCAGTAACATTTAATGCAGCTATTTAAGGAATAAAGCCACAGCAAGATCAATTCAGAGCAATTCTCATTGCCTGATATGAGTCAATTATCTAAATAGGTTTAAAAATCCATGAATCGTAATTGCCAGATATTAGTTATTACTAGGTATTTTTGTGTCTTTCATGCACAAGGCTGGGAATACACGTAACAAGTGCACAAGGAACTGCCACACCCACATGGGCAGCAAAAGGGACAAATGTTACTGATTTGAAATACTACAAACATTACTGATTTAAAATACTAAATACCTACATAACAGCTGAAACAAAAACATAATTTGTAATTTTCTAACTTGAATGGGCCATTTCTCACCTTTTCTTTCCTTCCATTTAAAAGTGAACAATCGACTCTCCCTTATTCAATACAGAAGTAATCAATGGCACAAAAGCTAAACTCTGCCCAAATAGCTAGTCTCCTGATAAAGCTCCGAGAAATGCAGTCCTCAGAAGCCATTAATTCCTGTCCCAGCTCAACCTATAGAGTTAATCAAAACACATTTATTTTCTTGCCCATACAAAGCGTTCAGAATTCTCATCTCATGAAAACAAAATCAATCAGCACAACAGAAAAATCTGTTGTGCTGAAACATTGAACTATAATCATAGCATTCATTAAGATTATTTTACAGCAAATTTATACTTAACAGCTTTCAGAACATATTTAAGTTGCAAGCTACACAATCTTTTCTTAAAAATAACAAGACCATTTTTACCAAGCAGTTCCCAGACATCTTGCCCTTCTTCTGATTAAAGAGGTAAACAGTTTGCTTTAAAATACTTGATTTCACCAACTTCCCATGAGGTAGGATGATTTAATTTGTACCTACAATTAAACTTTTATTTTAAAAGAACTCATATGTTGACCTAGGAGTGATAGCTTCTATCAGGCGTCACCAAACGTCTGTAAGGGCCAGGTAATGTTTTAAGCTTTGTGGGATACATACAACTTTGTAGAATATTGTTTTTAACCTTTAAAAACGTAGAAACCATTCTTAACTCAGGGACTGTACAAAACAAGCCACAGGCTGAAGCTTGCTAGCCCCTGGCTTAGATATAGCATTTATTAAGCTTCTTATCCTCTTTAGGTTACCTTTCTTTAGCTATATTCTTTGATTTAGTGAATCCCTTTGCAGCCTGAACAGACTTCTTCCAATTGCTTCTTAATATAAACTCCATTATTTTTCTAACTTCAAAATCAACTAAAATCCTCAAGTTGAGAGAACATGTCCAGGTAAACCAACCCAGGCTGAGAAAAAAATTGAACCCAAATATCTGAAAGCTGACACTTAATATACATCTTAATGATAAAACCTGACAATTTAGCAAACTGTGTTGTTAACTTTTTCCACTGTTAGGTCTGAAAGTTTGATTCGAGATCATTTTACTGCCTTGTTACTAGATACACTCTGCAAACCAAACTGATAATCAAGTTCTGGGTCTTCTCTAGTTAACTTGGAGATGGTCTGGCTTGTTAAGTGTTCAGACGCTAAAGTTGTTTACATGTTTATTTCAGTAGAATTACAAATGTTTGGGTTAGAATCTATTTTCTAAGCATTTATTTACTTTCTTTAGAAGTAGAACTGTATGCGCTTGAGAGCTATAGAATCTGTTATACCAATAACTTCAATGTTGGGATAGATGTCCATTAATATACCTGATATAATCTTAAAAGTCAAAATCTTTCAGGTTCTACCAGCTTCAGATTTCTCCATTAAGTTTCTTTTAACCTTTTAATACTTGGTTTCTTCCACATAATGCTAGTGCTCTTAAAGATCTTTTTAAAATCCAACATACAATAGACTCTGTATGCAATTCCTAATAGTATAACATTTTTCTATTTCAGTGCAACCATGTCTAGCAATTAAAAAAAAATAATAACACAATCAGAATGAGTCCTTAATATACTCCCTCCAAATCCATACCAAAAAATAAGTCTCAAATATATTTACAACCCTGGAGATGTGTTCTGCTTCCACTTTTAAAATAAAACTGAGTAACTAGATGTATAGTACCTAGTGATACATTTTTTACATCTTCCACTACTCCACACATCTCAAAATAGTATTTAACTAAAAAAGAAACCATATCCCAATCATTTCAGTACAAGCTGAAAATATCTTAATAAGAAATATCGACTCTGGCATAATTCCTATTTAAAAGCATCAAGGTAAAAGTTCACTAAAACATTCAATTAGCCACCATTATAATTCAGGGATCTGTATCAATTGAGAGGTTTTCTTTAGAGTATTATACCCTGTTTGACCCCCTCCAAAAAGTGGCATTCAGTATGATTAACTTTCACACTAAATACATGATCTACTAAGAGAAATTCTAATTGTCCGGTCAGTCCTGGAAATTCATTTTATAAGCATTAAACTAATCACAATACTCTTTAAAATAGGTATCCCTCCCAAATGTGATTAGACAGCCTGGTTTAACAAAAACCCCACATAAACAAAATCTAAGCATAAGGGGACAAAATATGAGCATTATCTTAGGGATGCACAAACAGGTCAGAAGAGACACATATGACGATAAATGGGCTCCTATTTGATTGTTTTTATAACTTTTAAGAAGTGAGCATGAAAATAAAATCTTTATTTTCAGTTATTACCCACCAATAAAAGAAAGTTAGGTTCACAGTTTTAGCTCTTGACACAGAGTGAACTAGGAGGCAAATTACATCCATCAGATACAACTAATGGACCAACTTTTTAAAGTTCAGGCTACCTTGAAAGCTTGCAACATATCAGATATTGCCGTGTATTCTCTAATGACAGAATGTCAGCAATGGCTGGCAGAGAGTAGAACTTGAAGTGTTTTTAATAACAAGTGTTTTCTATATGTTGCTAGAAATCAAGAGGTTTATAAACATGTTACATGTTCAGAAATGAGTTAAGATACTTTAAAGTCTAAACACACTGACTTAGGAATACGTATGCTGTAATCTCGTGGGGTCTATAGTCCACATGGACTAAATTAATACTTGCCTCTGGATAGAAAGTGTTTGTAAATATAAAATTGTATTAGACATTAGCACCAGAACATGCTCAACATAAGATCCAAAACACCAGCACAAGTTTATCCATTATTAAAAACCAATTACCTCCTTCCTAAGATGTCATACTGGTAGGTAACTAGTAACCCAAATGAATTCTTTTGTACTGTGCAACTTCTCTCTCTCTTAGAAGTATATGGTATAACTAATCAGCTAAACAGCAGACATTTTATGATTTAAGATCTTGAATATTTTAAAAACTGGATATTACCATACATTGGTTGGAAATTAATGAGTGGCAAAACATCCTTAAAACTATAAATAAAATTCCTTTCCTGCTTATCAACAAATGTGTCAGAAGACTTAAAAAAAGGATCCTAGAAAACCTGTTTATTCATTTGATCATTCTCTCCATGTTTTATAAGTGGTGATGCTCCAGAGTTCAAGAATTCATTATTAACCTAATTTTCTAATGGAGAAGAGGTAAAAGATACTCATCACCTTCTACAGAACAGTTATCTATCAACTCAGGACCAAAATTAATAGCAATATAGGAAATTCAAAAACAATAAGATTTTTGGTTTATATTTCATGTATGGTGCTGCTGTTCCAACCTTATCAAGTAAAGCTGTCTGCTTTCCAAATTCAAAAATTAACATACTCCCCCATCTTATCATACTAACCAGTGCCCTTTGGTTTCTTTACAACAAGGAAGGGTTAAAGGGTTGTTGATTATGGGTGTACAATTTTGATTTGGGACGTTTCACACACAAATCATATCAAGTTGCCAGACAGTTTAAATATTATGCATTAGCCAAATCAACTTTGTTCCACCCACCCTGTTGGAGTGGGAAAAGCCCAACACCCATAAAACTACTTCACCTAACAGGATGTGTCTATCAACAATAAGTAGCTTAAACAACTTTCACCAGTAAGGTGTCTAATTTGTTTTTTAAAGTGGGAAAGTCACACTTTTTAAAAGTAAATATAGCTGAAACTGTGAATCAATTATAATTGGAACCTAATGAATCATGCAGGAGCAAGGGTTAATAAACCAATGTGCTTTGAATTTTTTCAAGTCTGGTATTTCTGTATATAAAGATTTAGCATATAACTATCATGAGAAGTGAAAAAAGTTTTTTCCCAGAAATGAAAATATTAAAACTAAGTTAAAATACATATAGTTAGTATTCCACACAGCATAAAATTTGACAAAGTTTACATGTCCCAGTTGACCATGTGTGAAAATGCAAAGCAGGTATTAAAACTGATATGTCCAATATTTAAAACCAGTCGGCAATTGGGGGAACATCTAAGTCCTTAATTAAAAAACACAAATGAAGTGAAAGCTTTAAACTGGTACACACTGTTCACACCTATATTTCAAGTTTGGAAATGCATGTTTGCAAGCAGCAATACAAAATATTCATGAAGAATGCATAATCTCTGAAAATTATGAAAACATCCCTGCTACCAATACATTTCTAAATACAAAACTGACTACCATATTGTTACTTCTGTGTAGCTAGAGAAGTTCATTTTCAAAACAGATAAAATTCAGTCTGTAGGTGTGAAAGGTATGAATGACAGTCTTTTTTTTTTTTTAATTTCTTAAGTCGTTTGGGATCCTTAAGCATGCAAAACCTCAGAGAGGAGGGTCCACAAAGGAACCGGGGTTGTTTTATGGCATCCAGTTAAGCCAGAGCTGGGAATGCCTCTGGGTCATCTACATCAGGAGCAGAAGCACTTGACTGAAAAAGAAACAAACCAAAATTAATTCTCAATTCTTGAAAATAAATTGCCAGTGTCTACATTTAGACACAGAACTCTAAAAAATCTTAAGTTACTAAAAGTAGTAAAACATGTCAAGTTCAAGGCAAAATTATGGATCAGAATAGGACAAATTAACTTGCAATGATCCTTGTCCTGAATTTCTATCAAGACCTATGAAAATCCCCTGGTCTCAGCACGAGTTATTTTATTTTTCAAATAAATCACACAAGTAGATTCATATGGGATATGTGGATTCTTACTTTGTTAAGTATCTCTTTATTTCCCCACTTGCTAAGAATGGCATCAATTTGAAAGCAGGCTAAGAAACCGATTATGATTATTTAAGCAGCACATTCATCAATGTTAGAAAGGGACTCAAATGCCAAGTGCTATTTACAAAGTACAAATAACAATAACAAAAGTATTAAAAGGGTCCACGTATACAACACTGGCCTTAAAAACACATGGTATCAGAGGAAGACACAGAAACAAATCACATTGTTAATAATGACCATAAAATCTGTAATACTGAGACTCTAGCAGGTGGGTCCCCAATTTGTGTCTCAGGTGTTGAGAATTCAGGACATTATGCTCGTATCCTAGACAGACCATAAGAGACAATGAGCTAACCCAAAGGTTAACTCCAATACTTTAATAATATCTACATAAAAACATGGACTTTGGCATCAAACAGATCAGCATTCAAAACTATCCATTACTAGGGCTTCTATCAAAATATTTTGTAAGAAACTGTTTTGTGTTACATGCTGTACAAAAAGCATGGGCAACTACAAAAACTAGGACAAAAATGAATTCCAGCTCTCACAGACAGTCTAGTAAAAAGTCAAGAACAAAAAAGATGTTTACTAGACAATCATTTAGTGAGTGTCACACAATTATATAATGAACACAAAGGTTGTTAGGCTGAAACCTAAAAGCAATGAAGAGTCATGGCAAAGGAAGTAGGTGGCATTTCAGGTAGACCTCTGGCAAAAGCCAAGAGTTAACTTCATCCCTTGTACCTGAATTTCCTCTTCTGTAAAGTGGGGGATGTCAATGCAGTAACAAGATTTAATGACAATACGTAAAATGCCTTGCACACAACGCTATGACCAGCACCGAGTAAGTATTCAATAAAGGATGGTAATTTAACTGCTGGCAGCACTATTCAAAGTTATTTAAGTACTTTAAACAAAAATATAGCCTAAAATGCAGTTTCTTGAAGGCATGTCTACCTTTTTGTTTTTCTACTTATGTCCCCAAAAGGACCTTGCAGTGACTTACCAAGAGATCTTCAAATTACTTAAAAGAACAAAAGTCTTGAAATTACCTTGTCAGTCCTGCTGCCACGGTTTGGACGTCCACCACGCCCACGGCCACCTCGTCCTCCCCTGCCACCACGTCCTGGGCGGCCAAGGTCTCCAAAATTGATCTCCAGCTGAGACGTTATATCATTTGCTGGCTTCCGGAAATGATGATCCATAACCGAATCTTCAGCATGAGCCTAAAAATGTATAAGTCATTGGGTGATTAATAAGAAAGTAATGATGCAAATTTGTAAATGAGCTCTAAAAAGCCCATATCTGTACTTTGTGTAAACAAACCTATCAACACCACTACAGAACAAGTAAGCTTTGGGATCAGCTATAGTGATCTTAAGGAAGAATTCTTTTCACTTTTCTTTCACATTCCCCTAGCGGGAAGTATGGGTAAGTACATTTAAAATATGTTCTTCAGATTAGGATTCCCTATAAAGGAAGCTCTTAATAAGGACATGGACAGATGGCATGTAAGGTTTCTAATGTTAATAATACTGAGTCTCTTTATCAGTTAAAAAGAAAACTTGCTCTATACTCTTCCAATCATGACTTGGGAAAAGAAACTGTAGACTTCTCAGAATGTTTTTCTGTTCATATACAAGTATGTTCTTCCATATTAACTGGAGCTCTACAGATTCAAGTGCAAAAGAGCTTTACCTAAGGGAACCTTGAAAAGCTGCGCACAAATAAAACCATGCCTTATAGGGATCACCTCACAAATGAAGCCATCATGTTTGTGAAATCAATCCCCTACTTTGTATTTATGTATATGCCACACGACCCAGTCTGCAATAGCCAGAAAATTTTACTCTGCTTAATTTCTTCTTGTATGTTTGGGATGAGTGAGTTTTAATGTTCGAGTTGGAAACTTTTCTCATACTACTTTAAAGTAGTTTAATTTTTCTAAATATATACATATATAACCCTCTTTTATGAAGGAATAATGAAATATTCTGTTCTTTCTAAATAGTTTGTAATATTACAAGCATTAGTAACTACCCTGTAAAGCACAAGTAAATTCTGTATTTATATCCGTATTTTCACCTCTTTAATCATCTAATATCTGAATAAATGCATCCCTTAGTGCCATACCAGGCAATAGAAAGTCCTTTTTTAAATATTAATTTTGAAGAAGCCTACACATGTCAATCCACAAAACCACTAGCAAATTAAAGTCAATTATATATACTAATTGTCTAATTTTTAAATATTTGCAATAGCAAAACAATGATACCCATTCATTAATTAGAATCTTTCATAAGTTTCTAGAGCACAGAAGCAAAAAAGTGTCACCTGATAACATACTACTGAAACACCTCACAAGTTTTACTACAGTAATAAAGAGGTCTGGATATTTAGGGCACATCCCTAACCTTTAAGATAACTAGTAGGATAAACTGGCAAAAAATTCTTTTTCTAAAGCAGTGAATAATAATCAGGAAATAAGATCTCTGGTCTCAGCTGTCAATAAAACTATTACTCAGATTTCCATTTCTAAAGTTTCTTTTCCCTACTTCATACTTCCTGTGAGGCTGAAGATATGTAAAAAAGAAAGAGCACTTTAAATACTGTATATATAACTAACTTGAAGACCTACATATATTCAAATGCAAAAGCCATACTTGCCAATAAGGTCAGAGGCCAGATTTAAACAAGTACTCACATCACAAAGGCAACTCTAAGGGCCCAAACATCTACAAGTAGCTTAATAATGAACATGTGCTAGTTTCAAAGTTATTCATAACCAATTTCACATTTCATAATTTTTAAAAATTTCTAATCACATATATCTCATCACCTTGTATAATGATGATTTCTGAAAAGGTCACTGTAAAATACTTAAAACTGGGATACCTAACCCAATGTTTATAAAATCCATGAAGAGGTTTCAGGGTATTAATGAATCATGTAAATCTGTATCAGAATTTTGTACATGTATCTTCTTCTGGAGAAAAGCTCTGTCAGGATCCAAAATATGTTACAAATAATTGTCTCAAATGTGCCTAATAAATCTTTTCCATATTAACATAAGAAGTTTAATAATTAGTTCAAATAAACAATCTCCCCCAAAGTGAACTTCCAAGGTTCTTTAATCAGGAATCCTATTGTTTTACCCAGATACACAAAACAATTAAACTATGAAAAAATAACTGAAAGTGTTCTAATGAAGCAAAATGTTTTCTTTTTCTACAGGCCTTGACACTTAAAAGACAATGTTCTCATTTATACTATTTTTAGAGTCAATGTTTAAGAAATCATCTCTAATCCCAGAAAAATGTAATATTTAAGTCTCTTCAACCTCAGTTTAATTTCAAAATGTTTCCAAGTTTTTTTCACAGCTATTTTGTTTAGAAAATTAAAATGTAATAAGATCCTATTGAATCTTTTTATTACAGGCTGCTTTCATAACATTTTAATTCAACTTCACTTTATAACTAAAATCTCATACTTACACCAGCCCTAAAAGGATGTAGCATTGGGATTGTGCCCCAAGGCTTAAATAGAAGCCAGCAAAATCTAAAGCCACGAACCTATCTTTCTCAAATATTTTCATTAGTTTCTGTGTTTCATAAGTAAAGAAAACCTGTAAATTAATTCTCTGGTCTTTACTCATTCCTCAGCAAAAGGTACTGCCAACTACTGAAGAGTCCTGACTATTATTTACAGCACAGGCAGTTCCAAAAACTGAATACTGAACAAAGCCACTCATTTTATTTTAGGCTAAGCCACATGAAAATGCCAACCCTTCAATTTAACACATGTCCTTGAACGATCACCAGTTAGGCTAGATTTTATTTTATTTTATTTTATTATTATTTTTTTTTTAGCTGAGCCATCCTGCTACCTATTGGTAGCTTAGCAGCTGCTCAGCTCGGGCTGGCATCGAACTGCTGTTGCTCAGAGCTCAAACTCTTGAGCGAGCTCTTAACCAACTGAGCCACTCGGCCGGCCCTTAGATTTTAAAAAATATTAGCACAACTTTGAAAAGACCTACCGTATTTCTTAAACACTAATAATTGTATGCTATACTACGGACTAACAGCTTTTGCGGGGGGAGAGGGAGACTGCCATATTATAAATAATTATGAACTGACTGAAGGACTAAATTTCTTGGTGTATAATAATGCAGTTTATTTTCTTTTCTGAGCAATTTATCTGCCCCAAATAATCCTATATAAAGCTCTTCTTTACAAAAATTATCCATGTGAAATTTTAAACCAAAAATAATAAATACAATTCAGAACACATCTGAACATTTTCAACCACCACAAAAGTTAATTTTACCTCTTCACTCTTTGACTTATGAAGAACAAATCCCTTCTTCCACTGCCCATCAGCACCTTCATTTGGTTTTCGGATATTAAATTCTACTTTTGCTCGGTCCTTATTTTGAATAGCCTTCCACTCATCCAAAGTCATTTCTTTTGGACCCTCTTCCTTTACTTCTTCAACTTCGTTTTCCCTGTGAAAAGATGTTTAAATTTTACACCTGGTAGATGGCTGACAAAATCTACATTGCTTATAAATTAAGCAAGTTAATCTTGGCTGGGTGGTAATATTTTAGAGATTATCCAAAGACAAGAGGATCATAGTTTTCTTTGTAACTCAACAGCTAATATGTAATTTAGTAGAGACCAGGAACTCAATGCTTGTTAAATTAGTGAAAATATGGATACCTGAGGATAATACAATTCACCTTCACAAATTTTTAAATGATCATCTATCAGTAATACAATCTGGAATTGTCTTTACGAAACCTAAAATACACATTTCTTAAAACCACAGTACTTTGTTAAAACTGTACCCTTATGTGAATAAACTCTGGCTTTAGCTTCTCTCTTGAAACACATTTCTAATTTCTGTAATTTCCCACAATACATAACTCATAATATCTATGAAGGTAATCATCTAGGATGCCCATGAAACCAAGTTTCACATTCTAGAATATACAATAAAAGAACTGTTTCTCTATCCTTTATTTGAGCAATACTAAAAGCAAAACAAAACAAACTTTAAAAGCCAAGTTTCTACAAATTCTAAATTCTATGTACTCCAACTTTCAAACCTATGTATGGGCAGGAGACTGAGGTTTCAATAGTAATGAAACTCTCCACAAAACACACTGGTTTCATTATTTCATACTATTGGGTTGTCGGAAAAGTCATGACACATTTTGCAACGAAAAACATAGAAAAAACACGTCATGACTTTTCCCACAACCCAATAGTTATTTCCAAATATACTTGTCAGGTTATAGCTATTTTTTTAAAAAAAAGATTTTTATTAAAGGTTATAACTATTATATATTATCATTTTCCCTTTCCACAGAATGAAAGCATGGGCCTAGGAATCCATTATTTTCATTTAATCTCAATTTCCAATTGTCACCAAACAAGATGTTTGCTATTTTGGGAGCCTTGCTTCTTTCCAAAGATAGCAGGTGATTCCGTTAGCCTTAGAGCTCAAATATCCCCTTCCTTCCATTAATCTTTACTGTTTGACAAATCTAATCTTAAAACTTCCTAGACCAAATTTACATTGAATTGATGATATCTTGGCTATCAAGTCCAATTCTATCAGTTCACAGATAAGAAAACTAAGAAAAAAGATCCCAATTACTCATAAGTTGTGACACAGCCAAGAACAGAACTCAGCACACTTTATCACATCATGACACTATGACACCTACCTTCAAGAGTTGCTGTAAGCATCAAATGAGACAAGACAGCAGCTCTGGAAACTATATAAGGGAGTCAATGTCAGCCAAAGTTGTGCTTCTTAAATTTATACCTCCATTACTAGATACAATATTAAGTTCAGATTCTCCCCTACTCTGGAGTAAACTGGAGACTGCTCTGTTGTCATCACGACCTTCTTTAGACCAAAATACCCTCTATTTCATTCCTGGGTGCTGAGTTAAGGATTTACTTCCAACACCCTACCAATACATGACTTCCTTCTGATAAACATTTATAATCTTTGCTAATCACTCTTAAGCTGATTTACATTACATTTGGGCTCTTTATTAAAGGAACAACAGTTGAGGATTGTGAAGTATCTTATGTTGTATAAGGCTCATTTAACTCACCCATCACAATTTCATTGTTATCACACAAAATTACGATTCCACATAGTTTCATATAAATCAATTTATATTCCCCCAAGTTGAACACATCACTTAACACCATGTATTTTGATCTATTCTCTCCAATAACAAATCTATTATTCCTTATTCTAACAGACCGATGGAATATGACGCTCCAATCATTAATAGTGGTTCACTGTAAAAGCAATTCTTCCTGGAGAAAAAGCAAAATTTAGAAAAGCATCCCTGATTGATCTGAATATGCCCTGGTTAAGAATTACTGACCTAAATAATCTATAATGCAAGACTTTAAACCACAATACTATAAGAAATGACTGTTCTATAACTTCTGCTTGGGTTGATGGAAACTAGAGGAAGGAATGAAATTATTTCTAATATTATTTCTACTTGAATCTTCAAAACTTTCCCACCCTTGAATAAACAAAAAACTTCAAACCAAGTGTTCTACCGAAAAACTCAGAAAATAAAAAAGGTTAAGAAAACTAGTAAACTAATATTCTGGCTCTTGCACTACTCATACATTTTAAAACAAGCCAATAATGCTATGTTCCAAATTCTACGTTGATGGAAAAAATAATTTCAAAGAGATGGAGGAACTAATTTTAAAGTGGTCAAGTTTTCTAGTTTTAAACTGTTACAAAATAAAATTTGTAGTCTCTCAAGTACTTTGAACTATGAGGTCTAAATATTACAACTTCTCTTACTTCAACCATTTGGTCTAATTTTTATAAATCCCTGGTTTCAGATTCCAGTTCCTACCTATTCAATGTCTTTGGACACTCATCACTTGAACTGTCCATTACTTACATGTTATTACCATTATCTATACCAAGTAAGGTAGTCAGATAAAATGCATTATCTTTGTCCTATTCTCTGTTCTCAGGTTAAAATAGTTAACTTTTGTGCTTAGATTTTACTATTTTCCTTATCTTTTTAAGCAACAATTTCAAATAGAAACAACCAATTCTATCTTTTAAACCATTAGAGCCCAATAATATGTACCTTTGTAAAACACTCCTGTAAACAGATACTCTTTGAGGGACTGGGGTATAATGAAAGTCTCTCCTATTACAAAGCCATCAAGTTAACAGCATTACACCTGTAGGTTATTTTCTTGGTAAAAACCCAAACTGATTTCAATGCTGGAGCAATACCACTACATATAAAACCACTTACTTATTTTCAGTGTCTGCAACTGGATGTTCTTCACCTTCAGGTGTTTCCTCAGTCACATTTGATTGCTCCAAGTCACTGCAATTATAAGATATTGGTTTCTGAATGTATTTTGGGGACTCTCTAAGGAAAGAAAGAAAAAAAAGGCATCTAGGTCCATTTACATATAGTCAAAGGATTCTTTATACAAAAATATTTAAAATTTTTCACATTCTCTAAGAGTCTTGTCCTATTAAATTTACTCCCCAGTAGACTTTTAAGAGAAAATAATTTAAAAATGTATAATGATCCAAGTTATAGTTCAAGTACTATATTGTAGTAGGACAGAACAGTTAGTTCCAAAACAAAGCTTTGCCAGCTTGTCAAATTTTTGTAATGACCAGAAGGCTCAATAGCTAGAAACTATTAAAGACACACAGAAAATCAGACTATATTGGGTTGTCGGAAAAGTCATGACGCTTTCTTACAATGAAAAACAGAAAAACACGTCATGACTTTTCCGACAACCTAATACAAATTACATCAATTTAGGGTTTCATATATTTATATGAAAAGAAAAACTGTTATCACATATATTGAAATAGAGAAAATTTGGTCACTTATACATTATAACCCAAACATATCCAACAAGACATTATCTTTTAAGGAAGTAGCTGAAATGAGAACATCAATTCTTGCCCCAGGGACAAATAAAATTAATAGTAATGGGTGAACCTCTATAAAGGTATAGGATCAATTTCATTAAAATTATTTATTTTTAAAAATCAGAATACCAACGTTAATTCATCTTTGACAGTTCCCCAGTTGTGAGATCCGCTACCTCCACGTTTGTCCTCGTGCTTCAGGCCACTGTAATGTGAAAAAGAACTAACAAAACTGAGTTAACATAATACTCTTTAGTTCTAGAAATTCAAATTTTGTTTTATTAAAAAGTAGATTCAAATACAAAAATAAAATAAAAACCAATATAAGACTTACGATCTGTCACTTCCACTATGCCTATCAAATTCACGTTTGCCACGAGAATCAAATCCATCCCCTCGGCCCATTCCGCGTCCACGGCCTCCTCGACCTCTTCCAAGACCACCACGGCCTCTGACAGGCCGGTCAATAATCGGTCTACAACAAATAAAAAATATTATATACATACCAGGTTTCCAGAAAAAGGAACAAGTGAAATTCAAAGACTCAAAAATATAGGAACATATTTACTGGCTCATAACTCAATAGTTAAACACGTTTTAGAAAATTCAAGTCTATTTCTAAACAAATAAAGGAAATCAAAACTAGGACGCTCCCCAAAACAAGAAAATTATTTTGACATTCTCTAAAACTTACTAGTGCATATAATTTTTCATTGATATTCATTTCACATTATAATCCAGTAAAAATGCTATTCATAAATACATTTTAATAATTAAAATAAACACATCTAACATGCACAGTATGAGTAATCGGCTTTGCTATAAACAATTACTCCAAAAGGACTTCCCTGTTAACTCAATATCTGGGGATAGCAAGAAAAGGAAATTGTCCATCAATTCAACTGAAGTGTTTCAATGCAAGAAATCTAAAAACTGTTACCAAAGTGTCTGAAGTATAACAATGCACACATTCAGTCGTTTCTTTGAAAAACTGATACTGACAAAACAGGAAGAGATTTTTAAAAAAAAATCTTGCCTATCAACTGAAAATTCTCCTCCTTCACCCTTTTCTTCAAGTGGCTTTTCAAATCGTCGTTCACGAGGTGGTCGCCTTTCTGGTCTTCTATCAATTATTTTCCCATCACCCTGAAGTTGTTGATCAGGTCTTCTTCCAACACGCCTTATTCCTGAAATGACAACCAGCAAAAGCAAATGATTTTTGCAACACAAAACAATGTAGGCCTAGACTGTTAAAAGGAAAAAGAAATGTTGCTACTCTTTCAGTGCACTAACTAGCACTTCCTATTGAAAAAGGCAAACACTGGGCATTTCCCAAGTTTAACAAAGTACTTTAGAGAAATTCCTATTTTAAAGACAATAAACTTGTTTCAAACTACTATTTAGTTGCCAAGTCATTTTTTCCCCCTAAAACATTCTCTTAGAAGTCATCTGGATAGGTAGCCATTATTCCTTTCACTTTTTGAGATTCCAATAAATTTAAAATCCTAAATTTAAATAAATTTTAGACAAAATGATACATTTTGGCTTTGAAGATACCAAAGAAGACAACACACCAGTAGCCACTCAAAAATAACCAAGCAAATTCACACATTCACCAGATACTGTCAAAAAAAGGGGGGGGGCGCACACTTTTATTTTCCATAATATGAAGGCGGAAAAAAAGGATTACATCTCGTTTGAAATAGCTATTTAACCAGAAAAAAAGTATCACCCCTTCTATTTATTTATATATGTATATACTATACAGTATATGTACACACACCACACTTAACTTAAATATATATACAATTATATATGTAATATATAAAAATATATATATATATATAATTATTATGCAACCACTAGGAAATACTTGTTATTTTATCATTATGGAGAACTTTTCTTTTGGTTTGCTCTTGTAAGTATCTTTGTATCCAAGGAATCTTAAAAAAACCCACTCCCCCTACCTCCAATTCCCCCTTCACACACACACACACACACACCACTTGTAAGCAATATTTAGGAAATAGAAACTTGTGGCATTAAGTGATGGCTAAAGGAGTTACTGGTTTCCTCCTTTATTACTTTTTTCCTGTTAAGTGTCTGGGGCCCACAAAGACAACCAATATGCATTATTGGTGGCCTTAAAGGTAAGTACAATAGATTGATGGTTAAATTCATGATTGTAAAATTTCAGGTATGCTGTAATTCCCAAACCACAAATTCTGACAAAGTCAAAAAACAGCTGAGCAATTGGTTTTTATAACAAGATTTTAAGCTGACTCACTCTGGTTCTTTCTAAGAAAGTGGACCACCACCAACCAGGACCCACCTAGTCATTCAGGTGATTGTAACTAGAGTCAAACAGTAAATATCAACAAACTCTTCAAAAAAAATTTAAAGTCCATTCCACATAAACTCTCAAGATAGGCCACAATTATTAGATCTTACACCAAGGCCTTTTAAATTTCATCAGAGGTACAGTGTATTGGGGTGGAGCTACAGAACCAGTCCTTATAATGATATCCAAGCCAAACACACCCAAATGAACAATGGCTTGCTTCCCCACCCAATATTAAATATTAGGCTTTACAGAATCTAAAAAGCTTACTAAATTCACCCAATAATTGACATTTAAAAATGAAAATTTCCCTTCATATATTTATCTGTACTTACAAGCTCACTTAATTTTAACTAGGTTCCAGGCTTTTAAAATTATTAAAAAACAAAAAAGACCTTGGTCGGCACTCAATAATATTCTGTGGTGTTAATTCTCAAGTTCTTCAAATAGACAAAAGGTGAACTACAAAACTAATTCTTATAAACATTAAATACATGTCTAAGCACTGTGCCAGGACCTATATTCAAAGGCACAGAACACATGATCAAGGGTAACAACTTTGTTTACAGGTCTATCCTTCCCATGCCTAAAAACATTGCCTGACAGACTTCAACATTTCCCCTTATTTATAAATTTATGTGTCATGCAATCTAAGGTTAAGAGTGCTCTGAAACACTCATTTAAGGAAAATGTTGATAACTAATATGGAAGATTTCCCAAGGAAAGACTAGACTATTGAGTGGCAAACTCAGTCCTGATTGTAAATTTATGAAACAATTCCCTACCTCTGTAACTTCAAATACTAGTTTCCAGTTAAGAGCTTACTTCAAAAATGTGCTTTATGGTAAAAAAAACTGAGACATTTAAATCATGCTTCATGCTTTGAACATTCAAAATGGGTGAACACACCTATTTTGTATTATTTTAGATTCACACTTTAGACTCAATTTTTTCACGTGCTTTCTTTGGATTAGTGTGTTCAAAGAGGTCAAGTTCAGCAGCTTAAATAATTACACAAGCCAGCGTTCCTTAGCACAGAAATTAAATGATTTATTCAGTTGTGCTACAGGTTGCTATAAAGCTTAGCTGACTGAAGAGATATCTGGCCTAAGCGACATATACATGCTTTCCAATACTCCAAACTTGTGCTTCCTCCCAACCTGTAATTTTAATGAGAATTCTTTTACTTTACTCACTACCTCGGTTCTTCACGTCAAGCCTCACAGAAATTCTATTAAGAAAAAAACCCTAAACCAAAATCTAACCCGAATGATTTTTCGAATTAGTTGAACGCTAACGAACTCAACGAAAGCTAATGAGAAACAACTCCTTTCAGGAGCACGTGGCAGTAAAGGGTAATTTCACTTTAAACACATAAAAGCGACTTTCAAGGTTCAGAGCTTTGGTCCTACACCTACTTGTTATTGATCATGTATGTTTTTCTTATCCCCAACTGTTTTGCTTTTTCATTCACCATAAAAGACAAACCTGCAAGGAGTGAGAATGCAAAGAATCAAGCTTAAGGCAATCCTGAGACGTTTACAGTGACCTGGAAGCAACTATTACCCGCCAATGAAACCCTGACCATGCTTCACGCACATGTGGAGGAAGAGCAGCAGACTCAAAAGCTCTGCTTTGGCTATAACGTGACAGTGTCTGCACTCAATTCACCACGAGGCTCGGGCCAAGCCACACAACACGAAAGAGTGCGGGGGGTCGGGAGAAAGGATCGTGACAGAGGACGAAATCCTCAGGATTTCCTGCAACAACCAATCTTCATTCAGAATTCCCGCTTCTGCTTCATCGAGGGTAGCCAACTCTCTCTCCTTCCCAACAGCTTCACTCACGCGAGCAAGTCACCAAGTTTGAAATAGTTGAGGGGGGTACCATAAAGCACATGCGGCACCTAAAACAGCAGCTTATTCCAGGAATACCGGAGAGCCTCAAACACAGCAGGAGCTCGGTGTAAACTCAGACCCTGCTTTTCACGGGGATACTCCCCGACATCGTGGGACAAGATGGCAGGAAAGAAGCCTAAAACAGACAACCGCACCTCAAAGCAGCATTCTAAAGTAGACCTCTGAGTAGGAAGAAGCTGGGGGCCCCGCTCTTCCCGGTAACCTCAGTCCATGCGCTCACCCGCGGAATCCGGCGGGAAGGCAACCACCTCCCAGGATCCCGAGAACGCCCGATGAACAGCTCGTCTCCGGACCACGCTCCTCCGCTCAGAACCTGAGGCGGGAAGGGGGTGGGCTCCAGGAACCTTGCAGTCGGTGGTTTGAACTTGGGGCTAGCACCCTCGCAGGACCTGGCTTTTATCGTGTAGGGAAAAACATGAGGAAATCGGCGGCAAAACCTCCCGCGGACACTCGGGAGCTGGAGAACCAAGTGGTAGCCACAAGTCCCCCCGGCTCCCTCCCTCCACCTTGGTTTCCCTCACCTTCTACCACAGATTTACCTTCTTTCTTAAGCGCCACGGGTGGCTGCGTCTCCTCTTTCTTGTCAACCGCGCCAACGTTGGCGGGCAACGGGTTCTTGCGCTCTTTCTGAGACTCTTTACGCAGCTGTTTGCCTGCCGCATTGGAGTTGGTCTGAGCTGCGGCCTGAGCAGCGCTCTTGGCCCCAGGGCCCCCAACGCCGCCCCCGCCGGCTTCTTTTTTCTTGTTCTCTGCTGCCTTCAACACCTCGAACGGATCCGATTCGTCGTCAAGTAACTGGTCGAATCGGTTGGTGACCACGCAGCCGAAGCCTTCCTGTAAATGCCCAGGCATGATGGTGGCTCGGCGGCGCGTTCCTCCACGGATTGCAGCGGGCCGCGCCAAGCCAAGAGCGCCTGCTTCAGCTCTTCCCACAAGATGGCCGGGCCGAGAGAGGGGGGCCGTCTTCTCTTCCGGCGCCAGGCACACATCCGGGAGCGGCTGGCGCCGCAAGGCACCATGGGGTATGTAGGCCAGAGCTGCTCCTACCGAGGCGGCTCCCGGCGCCGGGACTACAATTCCCAGGATGCACTGCGCGACAACTCTTCGCGCGCGCCTAAGAGGCAGGATCTCACGGAGGGAGTAGAGCGTGCATGCTGAGGGAGGGGAAGCTCGGTGGTGGGCGGAGTCCGGCCACCTGCTCTCGCCACCCTTAAACTCTGTGGGTCTCAAGCTATCCTGAAAACAGGAGAACGTGACCGCGTATTTTGCTCCCGAAAGTACCGTCTTTGGTTTTACTCACCCCGCCTCCGGCCCAGGGCTAACTTTCTCCACCTCTCCGGGAGGGTCAAGGTGACTCCCAGATCTCACAACTGGAGGCTCACAAACTTCCGGGGCTGGGGGAAGAGGGGCTGCTAAGGTGCCGCACTGGCCTCACCCAGGCAGGACCCTATCTGTTTCAAGTCCCTAACTGCTCAGTTGCTGGAGTCGCCCCTCCAGTACTCATAATAATGAATCGAGACTCTTCTGTATATACTGTGAAGCAGAATACGCTTCCCCTCACAGGGACGTGAACTTGGGTAGCAGAATTAATCAGACGAGTTGAACTGCCACATGGGAGTGGTGCGCGCCTTTCCTGGGTGAGAAATTTTGTTTTGCAAAGGATGCTCTAATTACTATTGACTCCTGACGTGCAGCACTTCCTAAAGGCTGGGTAAGCCTCGAAAAGGCACTGTTTTTAGAAACACTTTCTAGAGTCAACCCAATTGTCCGTTAGTGTCCGGCAAGCCAAGAATTAAATGTTAGTAAAATGTGCTCAAGAAATAACATTTTAGCGCATGAGTGTGCGGTGTGCTGAGATATGCAATGAGGGGAGGAAAATATGTCAGCGAATTAATTGTGATTTACTAAAAACATTGATATGAGTTGATATTAGCGACTGTTAAAGAGCGTCAGTGCATATTCAAGCACATCAGTGTTTAAATATATCATCATAAATTAAAACCTTTTAACATTAACAAGATATAATAGGAAAATGCATCTCTATCCTCCAGGTGCTACGAATAACCTTAATCTCAACAACTCATTAGAAAGGTACTTTCTCCTTTTCACTGATGATGAAACTTAAGAAGTGAAATGGCTTATCAAGTTCACACCTCTATAAACGCTAATGCCAGTAGTTAACACAGTCTTCTAATTCCACTATGAGACTGTTGACATCAACTCTTAAATTCTGTCTTCTGATCAAAGTCAGTCAATTCTTAATTAATTTCCAATATTTAATAAGATTTAAATATTGTTGATGTCAGGCAGGGTATGTAACATGGCTGAATGTAATCTCATTAATTTCTGAGTAGGTTTTAAATCAATTCCTTAACAGGGAAAATAAAAGCCATATTACAGGCATGTGGCAGCAAGCCTGGTGGTTTTCTTGTTTCTAAATCCAGCCCCCACTCCTCAAAGTCACCTATTTCTCTGTTGCCTCAGTCTGACACACACACACACACACACACACACACACACACACACTCTCACACACACACACACACACACACACACACACACTCAGTCTCACACACACACACACACACACACACACACACACACACACACTCAGTCTCACACACACTCTCTAACACTTTTCCACAAGCTCTGGCTCTTGTGGCTCCTACCAAGACAAAAAACAAGGAGTTTGTGACCGTATTCTTCATGCCTCTTTGAAAATAGTTCAAGTGCAATTTGGAAGATCTCCATGCTTTAACAAGCTTTTTTTTTTTTTTTTTTAACCAAGGTCTGTTAACAGCTGCATCTTAAAGACATCTACAGTTTACCTCTTTCTGGCCATTGCCACAACAAAATTAAGAGCTAAAATGGTACTTCACTATGTGCTTGGTGCACTTTACATGTGTGACTTCATTTAATCCTCACATCAACTCTATGAGAAAGGTATTATTTCTTTTTTAAGGTGAGAAAAATGAAGCACAAAGAGACTAACTTATCCACTCCTACCATAGCCTGGCCTGCACTAAGTCATTTTATCCTATGTACAGATCTCTGGTTTCCTCAAATAGATTTTTATAGCCACCAAGTATTGTTACAATAAAAATATTTAAAGATAAGCTACATGTACAGGAATTGTATGGCTCTGAGTTTATGAGATTCACTTATGCTTCTCAGAGAACATACCTATTAATTTAACATGGAAATATGAATAAACCTTTGGGGTCTGTAAAAACTGTTATAAGCACTTTCAACTTCCTCCTCTCCTTTTCTTCTCTCCTAGAATTTTGGTTAATCCAGGAAAGTCTTAAAGCCCATTTTTAAAGTACACAACTAAAGCTCAAAATGGTAATTCTTTTATATTTCAAATCAATTATTGTAAGTAACTGTTTTCACTAATGTTCCCTTCTGAGAAGTTAAAATAGTTTTTAAAAAATATTTAAATGTTCCTGCTACTCTCAATATAAAATATATTGCTGAATAATCTCAAGGGAGGAGGAAAGGAGACCTTTTGGCAGGCTGTTATTCAAATTAAAGGCATGAGCTGTAAAGTGACAAGTTATAAGATACCACTGATTAGAAATGTAGCCTAAAATATCAGTGCCCTGTAGCAATGCTTGAATCACATTGTTCTCTGAAATATACTCACGCAACTTCACAGCCTTATCTACAGTAAATTCTCTAAATAGAGTTTTGTCACAGTAAATGCTGAAAACTATCCAAATATCTTGATGAAATATCCAATATAGTTACATAATGTTAATAAAACTGAGAAACAGAATATGATACCACCTTCTAGTCCTCACTTTCTTTTAGGATGCTAACACTCAGTTCTCAACCACATTACAACTTGGTTTTACCCATTTCTTAATCTCAATCCCCTATTGCTAACTGTTGCTATATTATAATAATCATTACTAACAGCTATAATTTGAATATTTGCTATACACTTGACACTGTGCTATCTTACATGTATTATTTCCTTTAATTCTCAGAACATTATGGAGTAAGTAGTATTACTATCTCTACCCCCCTGTTACAGATAGAGAAACTGGTTAAGTGCTTCCCTCAAATTCACATTGCCTGAAAGAGTCCAGGCAGTCTGATCTCACAGCCTGGGCACCCAACTATTATACTTGTGAGGGACATGATAGAGGGAACAAAATTCTTCATCCTTATATTGCTACCACCTGTAGCAAAAGAAAACTGTTATTCTGTTGTAACACTTTGGTGGCACTAAACACAGGCACCACATAAATGTAAATAATAGACTAATTTTTAATGTGTTCTAAATATATTATGTATTTTTAAAACAAAAGCAAGAAAAGTGGTTCTTGTGAAGAAAAGGGAAAATCCTCTATGTCTCAGGATGGAATGCTAAGAATAATTTTGCAAGTCTAGGCTCTTGCTAAAGTTAGAATATCAAAGCTAAAAATAGAAATATTACACTCTATTTTGCCACCTCAAACTTACTTTGAAGGTTGATCCTCTTGATTTTAAACTCCTCCCTTTTCCCCTGACATTGTACTCTTAAAAAACAAACAGCTTTATTGAGATATAATTCACATGCCATGTAATTCACCCATTTAAAGGATACTATTCAAAGGTTTTTAGTATATTCACAGAGTTGTACAACTATCACCACTATCTAATTTTAGAACATTTTTATCACCCACAAAAGAAACACATACCCATTAACAGTCACTGCTCATTCTCTCCAATCCCAGTCCTAGGCAACCACTAATCTACTTTCTGTCTCATAGATTTGCCTATTCTAGACATTTCATATAAATGGAATCATATGATATGTGGTCTTTTGTGACTGGCCTCTTTCATTCAGCATGTTTTCTAGGTCCATCTATGTTGTAGTGTAGCATGTATTGTACTTCATTCCCTTTTATGACTGAATAATATTTCACTGTATGGATAGAATACATTTTATTTATCCATTCACCAGTTAATGGATACTTGAGTTATTTCTGCTTTTTGGCTGTTATGAACATTTGTTTACAGGGCTTGTATGGACATATGTTTTCATTTCTCTCAGCTATGTATCTAGGAATAGAATTGCTAGGTCAGATGGTAACTTTATGTGTAACATTTTGAGGAGCAAAACTGTTTCCCAAAGAGGCTACACTGTTTTACAAACCCATCATCAGTTATGAGGGTTCCAACTACTTCACATCCTCACGAATACTAGTTATTGTCTGTCTTTTTAAACGTAGTCATCCTAGTAGGTGAGAAGTGGTATCACTTTGTAGTTTGGATTTGTATTTCCCTTATGGATAAGGGTGTTAAGCCTCTTTTTACATGCTATTGGCCATTTTTATTTTTATTTTTTGTTTTTATTGTTTTTATTATTTTTTAAGATTTTTATTGGGGAATTGGGGGAGGGGAACAGCATTGGGGAATCGGGGAAGGGGAGCAGACAAGTTGCTGTCCTTTTGTTCTTCAGTCTAGTTGTGGAGGACGTCGCTTCACTGGCCCATGTTGGTATTGTGATTATTGTGCTCTTCCCGGGTGAGGCAGTCGCTCACTGGCCATTGGACGGCCACTCACAGAAGCTCACGAAAGCTCACGTCAGCTGCCTGCCAGCCAGGCCCACTGCAGCCTACGCCATCACCGGCGACTCACGGCAGTCCAGCTCCAGGTCGAGCTGTTGTTCACCATCTTAGCTATAAAGGGCAGTGTCACTGGCCCTCATGTGGGATCCAATTCGGGGCCCTGCTGCTCAGAGCTGGCATCCCAAGCCAACTCTTAACCAATGTGCCAGTGGGCCAACCCCTATTGGCCATGTTGATATCATCTTTGGAGAATGTCTATTTAGATCCTTTGCTATTTTCTAAGTGGTATATGTACCTTTTTATTGTTCCATTGTAAGAATTCTTCATATATTTCAGATTCAAGTGCCTTATCAGTTATACGATTTGCAAATATTTTATCCCATCCTGTGGGCTTTTACTTTCTTGGTGG